GAACTACGCAAATCTTATCAGTTTAATTTCTATTTTGTCTGCAGAAAAACATCTTGCACAAACTCCGCAGTAAGTTGAAACTTCTGTTTCTTGCGTTTATTTGTGATGCTTTGTGGCTTCCTGTTGTTGTGCAAAAGTGACAGTGATTTAAAGTAATCCATAGCGTGACTGGGGACGACTTGTCATAAACAGCAAACTGGTTAACTTCACTGGGTGTTGCTCATTTTTAACAGAAGTTTCAGATTTATGGCATGCTGTTCACAGAGAAAACTGCTGGCAAATGTTGCTATTACAACTTTCTTTGGTGTAAATGTATGGTCTTTTCCTTTTGTCACTTTTTAATTTCTAATCGCTATATTATACGGGGGTGAAGCACGGTTTCTCTGTCTGCTGTCAGAAGCGGTAATGGGGCAGACAGTGAAATGGCAAGTTGTTAGCTTGGTGCTCCCTGCAAATGTTGCCCCTCCACCTTGGAGGTGAATTTGCATTTATTTATTTATTTTAAGGCATTCATGTAATTATATTAATGCCATATTGTATGAGGACGGTTGGCTTTGGGGAAATTGCATTCCTTGTGAAAAAGTTGTGATTGGTTCTTAAAGCAAAATGTGTTTTTTAAAGGCTTGTAAGCTAGGGAAGCATAACTTTTATACAGCATCCTATTTGAAACTTAAATTCATCGTTAGTACCTGGAGAAGCAGGTTAAAATACTTATTGATATTTTGCCTGACCTATAGCTGCTATAGGTCAGGCAAAGGTTTGTAGCGAAGGTTTGTGCCTTTTAAGGCAGAATCTCTGCAAGTTGAAGGAGAGAAGGGGAATTAGGGCTTAATTTTTTTTCTTTTCTTTTTTTTTTTTTTTTAAGAGATAATTTGTGAAATAATTATTTTTCAAGAGGTATGTTGAAGGAACTGCTTAGTGACACTGAACTTTGGACGGAAGAAAGGAGTAAAACCCATATATAAACCACATCCTTAGTGGAAAGGTTTTCCATTACCCTGTTATCTTTGGTCTGTCTTTGGGATATAAAAGGAATTAGTATCTTGGAGCTGTAATAGAAAATAAATCTGTGTTACGGCATTAGGCCAGGTCCGTCAGGGGCGAGGCTGCCGTGGTTCCCTGCCCCAGGTCCCACCCGTGGCAGGGCTGAACATGTGTTCTGAGTAGGGAAAAAGGTTTTCTTGCCCAGAAGGAGATAGAAATGGAATTTCCTAAGATGACGGGACAAACTGCAGATCCCACAGTACAAGTGTATGGACCAGCCACTGTTTATGTATGAATGACTGGATTTTATCTCCGTATCCCTCTATTTTCTCACATGTGTTTGTCCATGAGTCTTTGACATCCTTCACTTTCCCTGCCTTTGGTTCCTCCCCTAAACAACCCATAGTAAGTCTTGTGCAATCCCAAAATGCTCTTCCCCCGAATCCCATACCTGTCCCACACCCTGATGCACTGACCACCTCCCTCCCGAAGGTGCTCCAGAGCTGGCTCCCTGGGATGGATGTCACCCCTGGCCGGTGGGGCTGAGGCTCTCCTGAGATGGCCATCCCTTCCTCTGAGTCCGTAGTTTGTGTCCCCCCGTCTGCCTTTGGGCTTCTGCTCCTCTGGGTTTGTGGGGATGGACCTGCGATGGGCTGGTGGCTGCTGGGGTGGACCTGGGCAGGGTGTGATTCGGGCTCCCTCCACCGTTGCCTTTGTGCTCCTTTGTGGGTGTGCAGAGGAGCTTTCTATCACATACCCAAACAATTTGTTTTATAAGCTATATCAAGATTGAAACTGTCAAATTTATCTTTTTTTTTTGCCTTTGTGTAGTTGGTGTTAATTTGAATACTGGATTTTAGGAGTTTTTAATATGTTAACAAGTATCAGCCTTTTTGTGAAGGGATTATCTGACTAAAAAGATCTGTCCTGCTTTCCTTTCACAATTCAGTTTGCCTGCAAAAGTCTAATTTGTCATCCATAAAATAAATATACTTTGTCAGAGAATACATTTGTCCTGTTACTAATTCACTTGATTTATTTCTGATATTATAGATTGCCCCTATATTGCAAGAATATGCTCCAGTTTAACTTTGGGTCTCCAGTGAGCAAAAGAAACGTCTTTTTCTAATACCTGCTTTACTGTTGGAAATTAAATTTTCTGGATGGGCAGTCATAAATGCTAAGCCCAATGAAATGGTCATCGGTGATAGATTATTTTTTCATGGGAGGTACATTGGCAGTCAGACGATGGATCTGTTGGAACTTGAAGGTGACGGAAGAGAGACAGTTTCTTTAAAAATGTATCCTTAGAGACTGATAAAGTGAAATGCAGTTGTGTAAGATCTAATTTATCAAAGAATGTAACATTTCTGCAAGAGGATTTGCTTTCACTTTTCTATATTTTTCTTGGTTTGGGAGTTACTGATTGTCTTTTTTTTTTTTTTTTTTTCTTCCCCTCCTTAGTAAAACGCTTCAGAGAACCAAAGCATGAAAGACGTCCCTGGAGGATATGGTATGTTTCTCTATGCTTTGTTCTCAAATATTTTTTTCTTGTGTGTTTTAGAAATTGAAAGAATGATTGTTTGCATATGATGATAAGAAAAAGTAGTGACAAGAAATGGTGACTGAAAGTGAGAAACAAAAAGTTATCAAAATACATGAGTCAGCAAAAAGTTATCTTCTGTGCGTTTCCTGGCTAGTTCTTTCTTACTAAACACTTCCAGGAATCCCTACAAAGATGTGCCTTTAGACATAATGCTTCAAGTTCTGCTTCCTCCTGAAGATGGAAACTTACTGTTACAGAACTTAATGTTCTGTAGCTAGGCTACTGCATATAAGATAGAAAACAGTAAGGTAAAAGACATAAATACATAAGCCATAAAAGAATACAAGGTATACAAAGTATATTTGCTTCTGTTACTTTTTAAAAGTTGTTGGATTGTAGCAATGCCAACCTAACCAGTACTAGTTTTGAGACTGGTGTAAACGTTAAGCTGTCATACCAGTTGTTGAAGACTTCAGTGGTTTCAGGTCATCTCATGCAATGCTGCTTTTCGTAACTAATCCTGACCTTTATTTTATTGAAAAACTAAATACAAAACCTATTGTGTACTGCAGTCTACCTCAGCCTGAAATTCTGAGTAGTGCGGTGATAGCCTTGAATTTTTAAGCAAAGAATCTTGTTCTGGGACTTGAGTATTGTTATTTATAGTATAGTGTACTGATTAGATAAGAAACTCGCTGGCTTCCTGCCTCATGTCCAACACTCTGCATTCTATGTCATGCAACGAATGCAAGAGAATAAAGTTTAAGACAAAATTGTCAGGGAGGGGAGGTGAATTCAGGCATAAAATGTTTGGATCTTTTTAGACATGGAAACAACAGGCAAAATGGGTGTTGGTCTGTATGAAGAACACACTCTTCCCTATTCTTGACACAATTTCTATATTTGATGTTTAATAAAACATCCACTGGAAGCTTTGGTTTTGTGCAAAGGATGATGATAAAAGAATGGTAAGGGCTGGAGTCAATATGGAATCAGTACCTAACTGGGTTTTTTATATTTTCCCTGTAAGTAGCAAACTACTTTCTCTCAAACTCTGTCATCAGCTTTGGAGATAATGCTTTCAAGGTTGCAGTTCTTTGCAGTGTAGTCTAAGCTGTTGTATTTTAGATAAAATTCAGCGAGACCACTTCGTGCTTTCAGGTGAAAAATATGTTGGCTTTTTAGCAAAGTGCTATAGATAAGGGAATCATTAGCCAGCTATTAAATTGTTCACCAACAAGCACAAGATGAGGATTTTATTTCTGTCTGTGCCATGAACTTGCTAAACAGGCATAAACATAAAAGAGCTGAAATATCTAGCGAGGCTGTGATACTCATTGTTTACAGGAGGCTATTAAAGACTTAGCAAGGTTTAGTGAGGATTAGCTCTTGGATAATGTGTATGATACCAAGAGGATAGCCCTAGACTTTAAATTTACAGTGGTAAGGTTTCAAGTTAGTATGATTTGGTTTATTGCTAGCAATATTCAAGGAAAAAAAGGGGCAGAATTTAAAATGGAACGTTGTTAAATAAGCAAAATGCCATGACACTTTATCATTCTGGTGTTCTCATTTGAAGAAGAAATTAATAATTGCGATGGAATTTTAATTAAAATAAATTTGCAATGTCTGACTGTGTTGTAAAACTGTTAACTGTAAAATTTAAAAACTGTTTTTACTCTACAGGTTTTTAGATACTTCCAAGCAAGCCATAGGGATGTTGTTCATCCACTTTGCAAATGTCTATTTATCAGACCTTACAGAAGAAGACCCTTGTTCACTGTGAGTGTTAAATTTCACAATAATTCGTCTTTATAGTAGTTCTGCAGTTGAGTTTGATGGTGTATGTGGACGATAATGCAAGATAGAACCGAGAAACCAATTTTCATGTCAAAAATCAATCACTTTCAAAAACCCGTTGTTTAAGCTTAGTGAATCAGGGATCAGAGTTCTGCTCTTTCAGTTCATGCCTGGCAGGACCTGGGAAAGGTTTTTCTGGGCTTTATATAGATATTTTAGTCCAAAGGTAAACTCTTACTACTTCTTCCTGTCCAGTTAATGAATGAGGACTCAGGATGCACGTTGTAGTATGAGGCTGTTTACTGAAGGAGGTGCTAGGGACCAAAGGAAACGGATATGAAGTTGTGTACGCTGACCTCAAACTGCACTGTTCGTTGCAGCAAGGATTTAATATAAAGTCAGGTTGCTTTCAGGGATATTTAGCAAAAATCATTCGTGCTTGTATTTTCTTCTAAAACCTACATTAGCTACTGCAGTATTATTTTCATGTTGTTAAAAGCAGGAAATCTTGCTATAGGTACCCAGGCGGTTAGTACAAAAATTAATTTTGCAATGTCACGCTTGGAGCAGTGTGACTAAGTAGATAAGCGTTTCACTGTAGTGTATGAAACCTGAAGATGTTATGACTAAGACCCTGTCAGGCTCTTTACAGGAGCTCCTGAAGCAAACGGTAATTGTTTGGGTTTGTTCTTGATAGAGCTCATGCTCAAAGAAGCTTACACATTCCTGGTAATAGAAGCTGTGAAATTACTTTTAAAAGCCCAGTAATTTGCCATTTAAAACCAATCTACTTCCTTCAATGGCATAACATCTACTCACTGTTGTCCTTTGGTAAACAAAGGAGCTACACAGCTCAAGGAATATGCTTGTGTTGCTACACAAACCTGTTTTATTTCCCTTATTCCTCCTCGCTTTCTTTTGTGTTCCTACATGCAATGTGCAAATAAAACGCTGCTTGTCTCTTCCCACCACAAAGCATTTTGATAGGGAAAATGCGTTTATTTTAACACACTAACTGTAAAGTTTAGGTTGTAATTATGACAGTTTCAACAATACCAGGCATCATTGTAGGATTTTCCTTGCTTACTGATTTAAAAATTCCTAATAGATTTAAAAACTAGCAGGTGCAAATTGCTTTCATTCCATTTTTATATATTAAAGTATATGTTCATATAAGCTAACCAAAGCATGCGTAAAATTGTCAGTGTTTAAAGCTATAGCTCAATAGTTTGTTACAATTTTTAAAATTAAAAATAACTTTGTGCTGTGTACTGAGTTTTCAAGATAAAAGGTTTGCTAACGTGTGTTCTCTTCTACATGTTTTAATATAGTCTACATAACTATTTTTAAATACCACTTTTCATATAAGTGTAACATGACACAAAACAAGTAAGAGGGTGAGGTAGAGAACTGTTATTTGCTGTCCTCAGGATAACCAAAATTACAACGTGGAGCTGTATAATTTCTCAGATAAGGGTGCAGGTCCTCCTTGTTAGCAGAAAAAATACCATGTTGTATCAACCAAAGCCACTTGTCGTCCTTTCTTGGGAAAAATATATCTTAAGTGTGCAAGTGGGTCAAAATTAGTGAGCAAAAGCAACGTTGCTGTCTGTGACTCAAAATATTAATAATTTTACTTGTCAAATTCAAACATGGATGGTTTTCTGTTCTTTCCTATTTTGTAGTCTGTGGGTTATTTTCAGAACAAAACCAGAAAATGTAGTTTTAGCAAATATTGTGGTTCAAAGCTTGGCAAGAACTACAATTGGAAGTTGCCATTCGTTAGTTTGGGAATGTAGTGCTATAATTCAGGCAGGTGTGTGATAATATCAAAGCTGATAAAACATCTGTCAAAACACCGTGACAGATGGGTGGTTGGCTGCAGAACTTTAAATAGAAAAAGCAAACAGCATTCTTTTTTCTGTAGTACGGAGTACTCGGCTGTCTGTACGTGGCACACGGGGAAGTCTGTACGAAGCCCGGCCTTTTCCTCGCAGAACTCTGTCAAATGCGTTGATCTGACAGTGGCAGCGATGTGTGGTGTCGCTTGTGCCGGTGCGGCAGCTACATGTGAGCAGGGTCACTGCAGCGCATCGCAGAGCGAGCCTCCTGCCTCCCTGGAGTGAGCCTCGGGTGCTTGGCAATACGAGGCGTACTTGGCCTGCGCTGTGAGCCGTAATTTGATGTGAAATAGGTGTTGGCACATCTCTTCTCCCTGCTCCTGATGGCTGTCTTCCTCCTACAGACCTACAGCAGCCCCTTGTGGCCTTAAAATGACTTGTGTAGACTTGTAACCGCGGAGTTTCCTCTGCCAAGCACCAAACCTTGATTTTAATGTTTATCTTACACGAAGTTCATTAAAATTGTGATTTGGCACACAACTGTTAGAAAATAACTATTTTGTTAGAAAGCTTATGGGTAAGTCTTGGCTGAAGCAAGGCGTGTCTGCTTCCTTTTTCATTTTTGAGCTGCTCTTGAATAGGATTTTGAGGGTCAGAACAGCTGCTTTACTGTTTTGAATGCGCATATGCTGTCTTTGCTTTCCACTTTCTGATACTATTTTGTCCACATGGGTCTGTCTCCACAGCCAGCAGGCACCCACAGGTCTCTGATTTGCTATTTTTATCCCTGCAGATAAGTTCTACAGACTGTAGAGTTTACCTTAAGTATTTGGAATTACCAAGCGATGTTACTATGTCTTCTAGCTGGCTTTTTCTCACCTGCTATTTTGTTCAGCTAAAATCAGTGATAGTAAATGAACCATACAGACTTGCAAAATGCTCTGAATTTCAGCTGCCATTTAATGAACCTAAGAATTCATTTGAAACCCATAGTAATCTCTAGTTTCTTGAAGCATAGGTAAGATCCCAGAAGCTCTTCTTGAAACAATAAAATTAGTAGGGCAGCAGTTGTATGTCCACTGAGGGGTGGTTTGCTTTGGTGGCTTTTTTCTGGGAAGGCTTGTTTCTGATTATTTCAAATGTTTATTGGACAAGAACTGAAGTGTGAGAAAGTAAATAACTTTTTCTTCCAAACACTAAGTTGACATTTGGCCTAGATAGTGACTATACTCTCTTGGCATGGTATTCCACTGCTCGTTGCTCCTTGTTGAGGCTAGGAGGGGGCTCCCTCGAGCAAGAAAAACTGTCGAGTTGTGATGTCTTTCCCCCTTGGAGTGTTTGGTGTTGGGTTTTTTACCTTCAAATTACTTGATGTGTCTTTAAGATAACTTATCTTTTTATTTCTTTTCCTTTTATTCCATTGGTTTTATTCAAGTACGCTTTTTCCACACGGAATGAACTGAGCAATGGTAAAAAGGAAATCTGGTTCTAATTTAAAGGAGTAAAATGAATGTTGGAGTTTATCTAGAGTATGCACATGCGCACACCAGAGTTCCTGAAAATAGAAGTTGGAGCTTAACTTTAAGGACAGAAAGAAAATACTAGGACTCTTCTAAAACTATGTAAATTTTAGGGTAACTGTGTAATTACAGCAGTGGGTAAATGATTATTCTCAATACTCTGGCTGCTTAACATATAAACAGATCTTTTATCAATCATGGTGTTAAAATACACTGCACTTGTAGAAAATGGACCCTTGCTCCTTGCTTTCTTTTACGTTTTTCCTTTCAGGTACCTTATCAACTTCTTGTTAGATGCCACATTAGGAATGCTGTTAATCTACATTGGTATACGTGCAGTCAGCAGCATTGTGGAATGGCAGCAGTGGGAGTCCCTTCGCTTTGGTGAATATGGTAAATGTTTCTGTTCTTGCGCTGAAATGGTTTTCAGGATAGAATCTCACAATATTTCAGTTAGTAGTTAACTCCTCTTAAAATTGTTACACAATTATTATAGCAGTCATTTTAATATTTCATTTGTCACGAGGCTTCTTTTAAGTTCTGTGTCTTGGTGTGCATCTTCTGTGTTAGAAAGCTCAACAAGTCTCTAAGCATTTAGTGCGTTTGGAACAACTGCTTTAGTATTTATTTTTTTAGGAGTGATTGAACAAATTATGATACTGGCTAATCTCATGGAAAAAATACCAGCATGATAAATTTACTCTGAAACACTTTTAAATAAATGATGGTTGGAACGTCATTTCCTATTAAAGCTTTCACTGAACTGCGTGCCGTTGTCGGAAGATACAGGCTAAGAGTTCTGCCAGCCCTCTGTAAAGTAAACAACCACGTACCTTCAGTGAAGAGAATGGCAAGAGAGGCCTGTGCTTGTCCTCAAGTAATGATAACTCAAACTCCTGCATGTAGGGCTTGTATCATCGATGAAAAATGCGTGTGTTTTTCATACAGGCTAGGGGATAGCCTAATGAAATCACTTTCACATGAAGTTGTGGGGTTTATCATTGGCCACAGAAGTCCACCGGTCTGCAGAACTAGTGGATTCGCAGATGCAGTTTAGTATCATACACACTCAACGTCTAATTCTGTTCAGCCTGTTACTTTCAGATTGCTTAGTCTGGCCAGTTGGGGATGGAAGTTCTGTATAGATGTTAAAAAATTGCATTTGAAGCTCCTTGAGATAGGAACGGGGGGAGAGGTTGCCTTGAAAGAGAGCTATGGCTCTTCATCAGAGAGAAAAATAAATGAACAAAACCTATGGTCTGGGGAAAAAAAAAAAAGTTAAAATAACGTTTGCCTAACAAAGTAAAAGCTTTCATAGCAGTTTCATAATTATCATTGGTAGGTTTTTGGGTTTGTACGTTTCTTTGTAATGATCCTAAGTGGCTGACAGAATTAAGAGTAAATAAAGGCCTTGCCAAGTTGAAATACTTTAAAAACTTGGGAAATTTACAATTAAATCAAATAGCATTAATTGCTATTTGCTTTTATGTTAGAGGTTTAAAATAGAGATGATGACAAGCATCTGTCTTAGGAGGAATAACTGCCTATACCATTAGGGCATTTTTTGTTAGATTCATGTAGATTTAATGTGTATCTTTTAGGGTAGAGTTCATGACCATTTAAGCTGTTTAAGTCAGCACTGCCACAACCCTGTTTATCTGCTTTTTTTCCCACATGCCACGGTCCAATATTTCCACTCTTTTCCTTGGACTGGTGCACATCTGACTCTTCAGGGAACTGATTCAGAGCGCTAAACCATCAGAAAATTCACCATATGTAGAAAAGTAAATAGTTCCTCGAGATCAGTCCCCAGCCTTGGGTCTCTAAGGGATTAGGTAAGCACCGATGCCCAGGGAAGGGAAAAGGGCAAGGAAAAAGCTGAGACATTGCTGAGCTGCGCCTTCTGACCGAGCTTTGAGACCTATTGCCCAAAGTCCCTTTTCCTGATTGTTGATTTGGCTTGAAGCCATTTAAAGCTGTTTGAACAGCTTTCAGCCCACAGAAAATTGGCTTTCTGCTCAGAGCAAAAAACCTTGGTGTATCTATTACAATTATAGGTAGGTACTCGTAATCATGTCAAATACTAGATTTGATTTCTTCCTGATAGCATTTTGGTTTTTTGTGTGTAATCTGTTCTCTCCAATTTTAATGTACTTTGACGAGCCGTCTGTGTGGATGGGGAGATGTGGGGAGTATATTCACTCTCCTGAAATTTGTCTCTATCTCTTAGTGACTTCCAAAATGAACCTGGTTTTTAGTTAGCTACGAGGCATCTGTGACTGCAGTAATTAAGCTCTTAAAATAAACAAATGAACTTGTTACTTGTGTTATGCTGCGGAGGTGCTCTGTGACTGATCCATTATTGTCATTTCGAGTTAGAAGATCTGAAATGCCTAAACTTGTTTATCAAGTATGTCTTCTCTCTGTGTGTGTATAAGCAATGTAGCAAATTATGTAAGTCCTCTTTGCTTACGTGTTCTTTCCAATATGAAATCATTTTATTACTGTCTAACTTTCTTTTCTGTGTCTTCATTAATGTGCTTTCTTGACCTTAGTGTGTTGTTTGTTTAATCAAGCTATCGTAAGGACTATTAAAAAGCATATAGTAAATCTGTGTTTCCATTAATCATGTGGGAGAGGCTTCCGGTATAGAGAGAACTATATAGCAGATGGGAAGTTATTAGTAATGGCTGTGCAGTAAGGTTAGACCCTATGTAAGAAATCTGTCTAAAAAGGACAAGTTGCATTGGATTGTTTGATGCCCTCTTCTGTTAAGTACTACTGTTGTTTCTCAAGTGAAAACCCTCATATTGCCATTTTATTTTAAATTTGTCACTTTGGCCTCAAGAAAATTCTTGTCTGATTTTTCATAAGATTCTTTAAAATAATTAAATGAATTAGGGTAGAAGAGGGGACTAAAATGCAGTCCTGTGGGGTCACGAGTGTGCTTAGACTTAGTATTTGGAAGTTAAATATGGATGTTTAGCATACCTGGGTGGGGAGGTATCTGCTCATTAAAGGTATCAGACTTGTGGCATTTTATCTGAAGCGGTACCTCAGCTTGGAGATCAGTGTGACTTCAGTTTGTCTGCAAGTGTGGGAAAACAAATGAGAGCCCCCTCCTCCCCTAAAAAACCCCACAAGTCTCTTCTTGTGATTGAGCGATGTTGTTTGTGTTTCTAGAGCCTAAATAATCGTTTGTCTCAAGTTAAATCTCACTGTGAGCTCATTTCCCTTCTTAGCTCTATTACTCGATCCCTGGTGATTCATTACTTGAAGCTGTCACAAAAATAGTAGTGTCCTGCTGGTTTTAAAAGCCTCGTCTTTATATGGAGGATAGTTTTTAAGCATAAATGCCTCAAGGAAAGAATGGATACCAAAATACCAGCATTTATAAATGAATGCTGTTTGTACAGCAAAACAGCACTGCACGCTGATTTACGAACACAGTAGCATGGTGCTCCCTCAAGGGCTTTTTTTATGTCAGAATTTTTAAGTTTATTAGATTTGTCTTCATATTTCCAGGTTTGTATTTTCAGAGTCATTACATCAGCAGCTGGGTTTTAATAGAAGTGCAGAATCGGTTAATATATTTGAGTATGTAAAGAGGAGAAAAGCAGTCATGATCTGTACTGAAAAGAATGTTCCCTGCGTTCTCCTTCCCTTCTTGTCTTAGGCTACTTTAGCTGCTGTGAGGAGAAAACAGGTGACTAAATCCCCTCTTGGGCACAAAGAACTCTATTGGCAACTAAGCCGTGCTGTGATCTCTTTGCTTGTCTTTGCTTCTGGGATGGCAGAGCTTAGAAATTGTATTTGATGCATCTTTTCCCTCTAGCTCTTTGTTTGCAGCTTGCGGAGCAACTTACTTGTAGCCATATAGGGTAGATAGCACTCACTTTGAAACTTTTTAAAATTTATTTTGGAGTTGTTCTGTGAGTTGGCATTTTCTTAAGAAAATTTCTCAGGATTTGAAGAATGGAGAGAAGTTACAGAATAGAGGAATTACAAGTATTTTGTTTGAGAGCTGTCTATAAGCGTCCTTCTACAAAGCAGCTGATGAAAGTATACACTAGCATAGACTAGTGTTTCATTGCCCAGCATGTTCAGAAAATGCTGCTACAGTTGTCACTGCTGAGGATTCAGAATTTTTCAGTTTCAGTCTTAATGCACTTTTCTTGCAGTAACAAGATTTCTACTGATTTGCTAGTTTATTCTAGACATGTAATTTGTACATGGCAGGTATAAAATCAGAATTCAGGAGGGACTGTCAGAGACATCTAGAAATTAGATTAGAGCTTTATGGCTTCAACATTAACTTCAAAGTTCTAATTTGAGTTTGTGTACTGAATCTTTGAACTTAGAAATGTCGCAGATATTAATGGGAACACCTCCTGCATGTGGTGATGTTACTAACTTCTATTTTTTCTCTTGAATTACAGAGGTTATAAAATCGTAGGAAAAAAAGGTTGGAAAAGTTCTCCAGAGGTCATATAATCCAACCTCTTGCTTAAAGTAGGGTTAACTTCAAAGCTAGAGCGGGTTGTTCAGGGCATAGCCAAGTCCAGTTTTTAATTTACCCATGGCTTGAGATTTAAGAACCCCTTTGAACAACCTACTCCAGTGTTTAACCACTCTCATTGTGAAAGCTTTTTTCCTTTATGTCAGAATTGTACGTCCACCCATCCAGTCTGTATCTCCCCAACTTTTCTACAAGGATGCAGTTGGGAGACTTGGTAAATTTAAAGTAGACAGCATCCCTCTTCTCCCCATTTGTAATTAGAGCTGAGAGATAATTTTGTAGATGCAGAAGGGTACACAAAAATCCTCAAATAGAATTTGATATACACAACTTCTCATTTCAGTCATGTACCAAAAAAAACAGTGCCCCTTCCCGCAAAAACATCATGGAACAAAATGTTCATTGGTGATAGTGCCCAACACTCCTAATACAGTTTCACAGTTTTTTGACATACAGAATCTCATGTGACAGAGTTGGAATAGATGCAAAATTGCTATAGCTGTCTTTGCTTTTAGAAATTAAATACAGATTTGGAAACAGCATAGAATAAACTGGTAAAGTTTCAATGGTAAGTCTGTAGCTAAAGCTAGCTTTATTTCTTTTTTTCATATTTGCTAGTTAATGAAGAAAACTAGAGAATGCTAATAAATGTAGAGTATAGAAATTAATTGCTAGAATTTAATTCTCAAATTTAATTCACGCCTTGTATCTTCAGAAGAACTACAACAAAAGCCATAAACTGCTGTATATAATTTTCAAACTTGAGCATTTTCACCACTTTCCTCTTGGGCTATTGAATGTTGATCACTACCTCTTACTGTAAAACTAGTTTAGGAATTTTTCTTTGTTTTGAACTCCAGTCTGATTTATCATTTTCTCTTCGCAGTATTTAAGCAGCAAACAGTAAGTCTCAAGACTATTACCAAGTATTAATACTGAAAGCCTTTCAGAAATGTTCCAGAAAAGGAAGTAGCAACTACCCATTATGCATTACAAATACATAAAGGCATCTGAATTTCCATTGCCCATTATTCATCTCTAGGCTAAAAGTTTTAAGCTGCCTTTGAAGATGCTGCAGAAGATGATCATGAAGACTAAAGAGCTAATGCCCTCTTCCAAAGTTTCCTTTTGGCTTAAGCTCACCTGCAAAGCTTTTAAGGTGTACCAGTCCTCTTTTTCTTTTTTTTTTTCTTTTTTTTTTTCTTTTTTTTTTCCCCTTGGTTTCATAGACTATACTAGTCTACATAAGTTTGTGTGTTCAGATGTTTGTGGCCTTCATCCTGTCCTGACAGATGACTTAATGCACTCAGGTTTTCACTCTGCCACGATGGGGTGCAGCAGAATTTCAGACCCTTTCAGATTGAAACTAAAATATGATCTTAATTTTTTGTTCAATTAAATTTTTCATAGCAGCTTTTGCACCTGTTGCTTCAATTACAATTGGTTAGTTATGGTAACTAACTTTGTAGAGAGGATAAATATGTTTAAGGTAGTCCAGGGGGACTGGCAGAAATCATCACGTTTCTACTTAGACTGAAGGGAAAGATGCTTTTCCCCAGCTGTGTTTCCCTTAAGTTTCCCTTTTAAGAAACATAATACTTCACGGTAAAGGGTCAAAAATAACAATTTGATGGGAAACAAATGTAATGCAACTGTACGTGTCTTGCTTTCATCAGATTATGTAAAACAGTGAGTGTAGAACCAGGTACTGCTGAATCGGATAAAGTCCTGTTATATTCAGTTGCCAACTGATACTTTTTGAAAGTTGGGTGAGGCTGAGGGAGGGGAAGGAGCACCACTAGGGAAACTGGAGAAGGCACTTCAAGAGGGTAGAGCTGCCCCGCCTCTTCTAATATTGCTTTTCACAAATGTTTACTGGGAAGTAAAATCAACCCTATTGAACCTTTCTTCTTTCTTGCAGGGGATCCAGTGCAGTGCAGTGCTTGGGTGGGCCAATGTGCTCTCTACATAATGATTATGACATTTGAGAAAACCATCATCATTATAGTGCTTCTTATACCTCAGTGGAAAGAGGTTTGTACTTCTACAGCATTTTACAGAAAAATGAATTTCAGGTGGAAGCTGTAAAGCAATAGGCTTCTAATAGTGTTTATTGGTTTGGCTCAAGCATCATAACTGCCTACGGTCAGTGCCATTTAACTCTGTGGTAGTGGCATGTTCTTTTAGCTTGGTTAGGATATGGCTAATTAGGCTTTCTGGCATCCCTTGCCCAGAATATCCTGTCATATTTTGAGGGGTCTTATATATTGTAATATATAAAATTTTATTCTGTCTCCTTGTCTGTGTGCTCTCAAAGCTACCAAGAGGTTCTTCCTTTTCTTAAGTCTTTAAGCATTACTTGAAGCTGGTTTATATTGCTTCTTGTATTTCAAAGAATTTTCTTTGCATGACCTTGTTTATAGATCTAAACTGTAGAATTTTAGTAATTGCAGTGGATTAGTGAAGCCATTGCTGATGACCGGATAAATATTTATTTTTACAGAATCTGCAACATAATTAGTTACTCCCTGTTGTACGCTCTGGACTACTTTGGGAACTCTGTCTTCTCCTTACTGTGTATTTTGTGAAATGCTGGTCTGTTTAAATTTCCTGAAGATGGAACTTAAAACATGGTCCTGGGGAGCACACAGCTCTAAAACATTCAAGATGATTCTAACACAGCTCCTCAGACTTCTGTAAACAAAAGTGACAGAGATAAGTTTCTTGCCAGCCCCACTTACTTATCTGTGGTAATTTATAAGCTGTCCTAAATACTTTCCTTTTCTACAAAGCTGTCCTTTTTTGGTTCATATGAATTATTTCTGTAGCGTTAGCTGGTACACAGACAACTGCACTTACTAATCCAGTTGTGCTGCCATGATCTGAACTTTATCCTTTTCTTTTCACAGGTAGCTTTATTGAATCCTATAGAGAACCCCCAGTTGGAACTGGCTATCGTCATGCTGATAGTTCCCTTCTTTGTTAACGTGAGTACAACTTGCACTCTTCTGTGAGATGTTTACTTGGATATCTTTCTGCCATGTGTTAATTAATTAATGTTAGTCCTTAAAGCACAGTATAACTTGGTGCTTAATCTACTTTTTAAAGAGGAAGGATGTTAAAGAATGGATGAAATGTCTGGATATGTGGATTTTACAAAGCCAAAATCTGATTTGAACTAAGTAACCAGGCTCAGGAGAGGTGCAGAAATGCCTCATAGACCTCTTTGGCCTGATGACTTCAGTACATTGAATGAAATACTGACATAGAGATTATAAAATTACAATGAAATTTGCTTTAGGAAGCAGTTGGTCTAAGGATAGCTGTACTGTGAAGTATCCTGTGTCTGACCGCAGCTAATAGTGGCTGACCTATGAGGGAGCAGAGGAAAAGGGCAAGTGCACAATCATCCTTCCCAAAGTGTCCTCTTCTGGCAATCTGGGATTTAGGGACTAGAGCCAGAGATGGTGGGTGTCCTTGCATTTAATAACGGCTGGTGATTATTTTTTTTTTTGGTGTGTCATTAATTTGTTCAAGCACGGAATTTATCCTTTGGGAACCAAAAGTCTGTTGCACTAAGATGTCTGCCTAAACCGTGCATGTTTCCACATGAAGAGTTAATATCTGATCACTCTGAATAGCAGCTACTTTTCTTATTTTCTTCTCTCCAACAAAGGAATAAAGTAGCTATGTTCTAGAGCATTCATGCAGTGTGTAACGAGGCATGTGACTGTATGCCTATACAGGACTTTACCTGGTTGGCCAATTCAGAATTATTGTCAAGTTTTCCTAATCCTGTCCAAATACTGACCAGATGAACATATGCTACTCTGAAGAATACTGAACTGTCACTTCCCCTTCTCTTTAACAGGCATTAATGTTCTGGGTAGTAGATAATTTTCTTATGAAGAAAGGGAAGACAAAAGCTAAACTTGAAGAAAAGGAAGCAGGACAAGATTCAAGAAATGGAAGTAAAGTCCGATACAGGAGAGCAGCATCACATGAAGAGTCAGAGTCAGAAGTACGTAGTGTTAATTATTGCCATTGATGCAATATCAATCCAGTTCATCCCTCATGCCATTGATTTCATTGTAACGCTGTCAACTTAGTTTTGATTTTCTTTGCGTGTACCTCTAACAGTAGTTCCTAGCATTTGCAGTTGAAAACCAGTTAAGAAAAATTACATTGTTGCACCACTCACGGTAGTTAATCTCGTTCCAGATGGGCAGGAAGACATAATAATATATTTAAATGTCACAGGTGAACTGTGTTACAAATGCTTCTAAAAAAACCCACACGGAATACAAATCTAAGAGACAATTCTAATTGTGAGAGGAAGCTGGTGGAGGCAACTGGCCTGATTTTGGAGAAGTATTTACATCCTTGCCTTAGCATAACTTTATTCTAAATTATACTAAGTGGGCAGTTTTCAGTTCAGCTGAAGGATGGGTGGTATCTTTGAAGGTAAGTTGTTATGGCTTTAGTTGGGTAATGTAACTTTTCTGCATTATAGACAGTACTGTCTATATGGGGTTTTCCTTAATAAAATGACTGCCGTATTACCAGTGTGGATAGAGAACTCATATACTCTCTCTCATTTTGGCAGCAAGCCGCCCCCACTGACCTGGAGGTGCTAGAATCACTGCTTTGGGTTTAGAGTTAGTGATTGCAGTAGAGATTAATAGGCATGCATCCTTCTTTGAAATTTACTGGAGGTTCCAGATAGGATGTGTGATGTTGTTTGATAGTACTGGCAGTAAATCCAAACTGTGCTCTGTAAGCTCTTTCTTGAGCAAGTAATGAGGTGCTTTGCAAGCGTAACAAAAAAAAGTAAAAGGTTAAAAGTAGAATGAAGAAAGTGCATGACTTTGATCCATGTTACTCAGAAGCCGTAATTTGTTTTTAGATCCTTATTTCAGCAGATGATGAGATGGAGGAATCAGACGCTGAAGAGGACCTACGTAGACTGACCAACTTAAAGCCCATTAAGAAAAAGAAGCATCGTTTTGGTCTGCCTGTATGACACATTCCCTGACCTGTGTATTTGCAGGTTTCATGGCAAAAACTTCAGTCAGTGAGTTTTAATGTTGCAATTGCGTCTCCCTTTTTGAACAAACTGACTTAAAGGCAAAGTCTACCAACGGAATGCAAACGGTTGGAAGACTTCCAGTTCAGTTGCACTACAGATACACTGACCAATTATGCAAGAATGTCTTTTCATCATGTGGGAAAAACACAGCGTTGTCAAGGACGAGGCGCTGGGAGGATTTGTATCTGACATTTCAGAGAAGATCATAGAAAACAGATACAGTAATCTTTCCTTTATGGTTACTGATGATATGGTTTAAGGTGTTCTCAAAAAGGCATCAGAATCAACTAAGTTAAAGGAGTGTGTTTTATTACTAAAACTGGCTTTTGCAGCATAATTCCTAGAGCAGAATAGTTTATGGTTACAAGCTGTAACTTAACGTTATTTTTTTAAGTACAAATGTTTACTTGCTACCAGGTACCTATGGAACTAATAGGTGGAACAAAGATTTTTTTCCAAGTCTCTTCAAATCTATTTGACTATTTTATATTTAAGTTATATTTTCATACAGTCGTATTTAAAGATTCTCTTTGTCAGAGAAAAGGGTGCAGTTCCCTTTTTGTGCAGAACAGGTCAAAAGATTTGTAGTGAAAATCTTATTTATCCTTCTGTCCTGGTTTAAGACAAAGGGATTGCAAAGGGAAAAGCTCTCTGTCACTGCTGAAGTCACCAAATATCACTAAAAATGCAGTCCTAAGTGTGCTTTTGACCACATAATTTGAAAATACCTTTTCTAATAGGAGGTGGTGTTTGCATATTTGACAAACGTGCACTTTAGTGTATAACAGAAGTCTGTTGTGATAGGTTATTTGTGAAATGCATAACTATGGATGACTCTAATTGTTTCTGTTTGTGCAAGTCTCTTGTGCATACCTCTCAAATCACCCAAAAGAGATGGAACGTTTCTTGTATTTTTCCTTATAGGGCCTGCGGTACTGGACCGTGATCTGACTGAAACAGTTGTGCTACAGTATTGCAAATAATTCTGTCCCTTCCTTGTTTTTTGTTGGAAAAGCAATCTTCTATTTAATGTGCTTAAAAAAAAGGAGAGAAAAAAAAAAAAAGATTATTCCTGTTTAATTTCCATAAAGTTTGATTATCCTTTAATAGTGGGGGGGGAAAAAAAGGAAACGAGAGGTATAATACAGTTGTTACTACAGAATTTTTGTGATTTTTTTTTCAGTGTCTGTCTTCTGATAACACGTACTGATCTGAAACCTAGCAGACATGTTTTCAGCGACATCCTTTTGGTTTGCATATTTTCTTAAATGATTGTTTCTGACAGCTTTCCTTGCTTAGTTACACTTTGTGCAGGACAAGGCAACGTGTCAAAGAGGTGACAACAGACCTTAATTGCAAATCTGTTGTAGTATCTGGACATCAGAAATGTTCCAAGCCTTAAACCAAACAGTTTCATTGGAAAACTGCTCAGAACTTTTTAAGATTTTTTTACATTTTTTATAGATTTACTAGGTCTTAATGTGATTTGTTATCCAGACCGCTTAAATGGGGTTCTTAGGCCTTAGTGAATACTGAACTGTGCGCTCCCGTACTTATTTTCACTATTCCAGCATTCTTTTTCACTGCTTGGCTGCCGAGGTGAACACAATGTTCCGAGACTTCAGGTACACCTCAGCGTGTCCAGCCGGCTAGAAGGGACATTTTACCAAACCTAACGTTTGCGAGTTTAGTTGAGCCACTGACCTCTGTTACTGTGCACTGAAATGTAATAACTGCAATAAGTTTAAGTACTAGTGTTTCTTAGAATCATAGAATGGTTAGAGTTGGAAGGGACCTTAAAGGTTGTCTAGTTCCCACCCCCCTGCCCTGGGCAGGGACACCTCCCACTAGACCAGGGTTGTTCTTTTAGACTAAATCTAGAGATAAATGATAACGGAATCTTGAGTTTTTCTGAAGTGGGGGGTGGGGGGATGGGGAAATGTCCCTAATCAGTGTTGCCTCTGTTCTAGGTTTTTTGGTTGTTTTCATTGATTGTGTGACTTTGCTTGACTATTTTCCACTGGGTGGGCGCATATCTCCAAAAGCACAGTACTTCAAGGAATTCATTTTCATCAACAGAATAGTCTCATACAGCTCACTTTTCCAAAGGGATTTAAGAGCTAGGACTGGCTCTTGTCACAGATGTCAGCATTTATTTTTTTAGCATAGGATTTGTTCTATTTCAGTTAGTGAAATAAAGCTATTCAACATGTGCTACATACCACTGCACAGCCATCGCTATCCTCGTCAACCGTCAGAGATAACTGAGCAGCGCACACAAATTTAACTGTACGAGCTTTCATTTTCTTCCTTTTCTTCTCCAGTTACTTAAATTATCAAAATTATTTCTAGTTCTAGTCTCATGTCTAATCTGTGAAGTGTCAGTATAAAACTATGGCCTTAATCATGTAAAAATATTTGTTTTGAGCAGACCTCAAACTTATTGACCAAGTACAAAACAGTGTAAAGCACTATGGAGTAATTTCTTGAAGATGGTTTTAGCAAAGGTATATGAATGCCTAATTTTTCATGTCTTAAGTGCTTAATGTCACTTGGTTTGAGATTTTGATATGCCTAGCGAGATGATGTAGTAAAGCACTATGAGCCAAAGAGACAGAAGTATTTTAAATACCGCAGTAGTAACAAGAGGAGCATATCTTCAGAGGGGGGGAAAAAACAGCTCTGACTTTCTCTAGCAAGATACAAAATTTTATTTGCAACCTTAGCCAAATAACAAAAATGGGTTTTTTTCTATTCATTTTTTGCTATCTTGGGAAAGAGATGGAAAATGCAAAATTGGCAGTTTTCCACTTTGTAAGATAAAAATTGAATTCTTGCAGAAGGTACAAGTAGGACAGGTGCTCTTGCCAGAAGAGCTTGTCTGTGTGAGGAGGAAGTATGTGCCTAGTGCTTCACTATGTCTTACTGTTTGTTGAAATGTACTGGCAGTACAGTCTGAAGTAAATTTTTCATAAAGAGTTGATCCAGTAATAATGTCACAACATGACAACGTTTGCATTATCCTCCAATTGACGCTCTAAATTTATGCCTGAGGAACGTACTTCAGGACAGCTCATAGCAAAGGTTTAATTCAGGCTGTGCTTAAAAAAATGTGATTCTGTTTAATGAAAATAAGCTACGTGGTATATTCCAAAGTAAGAGAAAGGGATTGTAACTTAGAGAAGAGTCACAGAAGTATTGATGGAGATCAAATTTACCACGAATGGTCAATCTAAATGCATTAACTGTTTCTAGTATCTGACCTGTGACACATCTGCATAAACTTAAAACACTGGTGTTGTCTAATTCGTGGTTTTCAAGTTCTGGCTTTAATATGTTCAGGTCCCCTTGTCTTACTTTAAGTAGGTAAATGCTGTATGTTAATGTTGCTAATAAAATGTACTATAGCTTTTCTTCAGGGAAAACTCAGAAATTGAGTTGCAAATTAAAGCAATGCAAAGTGATCCCCTCCAGCAGGCGTCTGCTCCGATTCCAGCTGCGCCTGGGGAGGGAGATGTGGGCTCTTGCGCTCTGCTGAGAGCTGAGCATCACAAGGAATTTCTGCCACTGTGCTTGACTAACCCATGTTTGCAACTTTGCTGTGCTTTTACAGGGGAAACCAGTAATGAAAGTGAATAAATTCAGCCACATCGAGTCAGAGTAGATCTACAGCATAGGCATGCAAACTTTTTTAGGTAAAGTTTCCAGTTCAATTACTGAAAATGACTACTATGGTTTTACAAAGTAAAACTGCAGTATCTTTAAAAAAGGGACTCTTTTGTAGGTGTTTTTGTCTTGCGTGGGTTATCCGTCTCAAACTGAATGTTGGGTTTGTTTGTAAGTAATTTCAGAGTGTAGCCTATGTGAGCAAAACCAACAGCTGTATTCTGCTGCCCTCTGTTTGGACCATATTGTTTAATCAGTGGTGTTACCTTAAACTTTTAAGGGTATCTGATGTAATTACATTGTATAATGGTTTACAATAAAGTTTGACTTATTACAGATTTGTACACTTGTTTTATACTCGTTCTGTTTAAAAGTGCCTGAGTTTCACTGTTTATAATGTGCCGTTGTGGGAAGCAGGTTTTGCTACTGGAGTTTAACTTCAGAACAGCAGATCTAATTTCTTGCACTCTCACGTTGGTATTAAGTTCGATATATTCATTTAACTTAATAGCAAGTCCCATTTCAGTTGGAGAGACCGCTAGTATTAAGTAGCAAATTTTGTTTACAACTGTAAGAATCCTTGCAGGCTCTTCTCAGATATGTTCCCTGGGGAGGGTTTTTGCTCTCTGCACGTGCACACATGGAGAATAACTATCTGTATTTTCATATTGAAAATAAAACCTTCAATATGCAACCTGAGAACTCCTGAGATCACAGAACATTGACCCGAGGCCTTCTGGAGTGTAGGCTGATATTAAAATGCTTTAACCACTCAGCTGATTGTCGCAGCCTGCTTTTTGGCTTTTCAAGCAAAACCAGACCTTTTGGTCATTGGCAGCAAGAACTTGTAAACATAGAAACTTCCAAATTTACTTCCAATGTCCTGCCCCTCAGCAGAGGCACGGCCTGAGTAAGTAACTTGTTAACCTGTTTTATCTTCTGTTCCCCTTCTGATTTGTTTGCAGCAGGTAGTAGAAATGCAAGCTGAGGGGAGATGTCTGAGGATCTTGTTGAGAAGTTTGCTGGTGCAGTGCCACAGAACTCCTGCAGTACCTCCTCCGAGACAGAAAAGGGCCACGTGGGGATGTCTAGTTCTAGGACCAAGTAGCCCCTCTGTCTCCAGAGGGCAACATGCCAGCGATAACCAATATCTTCCTTGCTTACTTTAGTCTCTGCTACTTCCCAAAACCACGCAAAGGGGATGGGGAAAGCAGTGCTGATTCTTGTCTGTCTGACAAAGACATCACTCCTACGTGCTATCTGTGTAGTGCGGAGTTGTATCTTAAGCTACAGGGAAGCAGGTGCTTTGATTACCAAGTGCCTGCAGCGAGCACTTGGCCTTCCCTTGTTGTACCCAACAAAGTTGAGTGTAGCCTTGGGTTTTTCTGCTTTGTTGGGCAGAAAGATGCCATCTTACTCTGCAGGTTCCCTGGAGGTATGGCAAGGTATCTACCATCAATTTTCCGGAGTGCTGGAGGAATGAGGCAGGACTGTGTAGGACAGGAGCTGGCTCACTGTGAAGCTGTAATGTGACCGTGTGCAGGTGATTCTATTTATTTTTATTTATTTATTTGACTGCAGATGGTGAGAGGTTGATACCTTTATGCCAGAATACAGCAGAAATCCTGTTCTTAGTGAGCTGCTGTTGCTATCACTCATTACTGCCTTGGTGGGAGCAGTTGAGTGGGTGCTGCTGGGCTGGACCTGCAGTGTCAATCCACTATTACTTCTGTAACTCCTCCATTGTGTTTACCCGTTACTTCCCACCTACTACGCACAAGCAGCCCCATACCCGCTGCATCCTTAAAGGAATTCAGGGAATAATCTTCAAGCTATCTGGCCTGTCAGTCCACTGAGTGATGTTCGCACTCTCCTGGAGGGGGAGTCAAATCTGTAAGATCTGTGTCTTCGGGAGATCACGGTGGTCAGACCTGTGGACATTCACTAAATTCTCCATGGTCATCACCACATTTTAGCTGCAACCATTCCTCAGCGAAGGAGTTTCCCATACTTCATGTTGCAGTGGAAGATGAAGAGAGGGTTAACTTGCATTTTTAATACTAACTGTTAAATAAATGAGCCTATCTTGTTTCATTGTCATTCGTGTCCCATTTAACAGATCTCAAGACCTCAACCAGGTGAACAGGATTTCTACTCTGAAATGTAAGTAACTGTACATTTAGGTTGGTTTTCTGTAAGGAAAAATTAACCCATGATCTGTAAGGAGAAATGGTTGTGCTTGTTCAGCATTGGTTTAGGAAATGCATAATCAAAGAGAACAGAATTGTCCGGGCTATGGGGGATGTCTTAGAAACTTCAGGATATGCTGCCAACTCTGTAGGTGCCTCATCTTCTACCCCCAGATGGCATGCAGGCTGAAGGTGCTGTAATTTTGTTTGTGTAATGGTTTCATTTGTATAAATTAAATTGCCCTGAAAGCATAACTGTTGCTTTTGAGTGAGGAATATGTAGCACCACTTAAATGAAGCATAGGGAAAAGCATTGAAAGCTGAAGGGAAAAAATAGTTCTGTGTCTTGAATTCTAAATATTTGCTTTAAACATGCAGAATGTTATTTTCCTGTTGTAGTAGGTGATGTCACAATAGCGACGCTTATGGGACTGTATAGAAACATGTTAGTAGAGGAGAGGTGTTACTTTGTACAATAGAAAAAAAAAATCTGGTGTTTTTCCTAAAGTCGATAGGTTGTTTTTTTTCTTTTGCTTTGGCAAAACTGCTGTACTCTGTAAAAAAACGGTACTGCTGTTCTGCAGAAGTGTTTCCTGTAGTTTATGAAGCCGTGGGTTTAAAATAGCCATTTCTTATGTTGAATTTCTAAGTCTGTAACATCCAAACTGCTTCTTAACCTACAAATAATTCCCCCAATAGTCACGTAAAGGAAAGCATCTTCTCAGGCCTGGAAAGAGTTCAGCTTAAAGGCAAAATGGGCACCCGGAGGCCTGGGGGATAGTTCACAACCGACAAATCCCATCGTCCTGATCGTATGGTGCTAGTGCTGTGCTATTGATGTGATGATTTCATAATGAAGAATACCTTTTTATTTTACCTCCCGTGTTTCTGTAGCCAAAGCAAAACGCAGGCAGAGCTCAAGAAAATTCCAGGGCAGATTTCTAGCACTACAATGGTCGATCTTACCAGTAAAAGATGTTTGGAGCTCTGCCACATCTGCCTTTCTCCTATTAACATACCTGGCTGGAGTCTTGGTTCTTTGTAGGTGTTGAGTGCAGTCACAGAAGCTGATTTATTTTTTTTTTCATGATGCAAGGAATTAATGTAAAAGAATATAAAAGGGAAACAATCCCCCACCCAATCCTCTCCCAGTAATAAAAAGCAGAATTTATGCTTGGAGTTGTTTGGGTTTTTTTCTATTTAATTAAAAAATTGTTTAGAGAACAAATGTTAAAAGTTCTGGAAAAGGTTTTACTACTGTCAGCATGTGCAGTGCAGCGGGGAACACTGGATTTATTCATGTCTGAGTAAGCTATTCCTATACAGATGACAGGTGAAATAATTAAACTTACTAATACCACTGTGAGTAGAAAGTGATTTTACTGTCTCAGTTGTGTAAGAACCGGCATCGGAGCAAGCTCAGCAATAGAACTGTGAGGGTAAAACCATAGAAACTACAGCCTATTTTATTAACTCTCCAAAATGCACAAAATACTCCTCTGTTAAAGATGGCTGTGCAAAAGCAATTTAGGGCACAATGTTATGCTTTGGGCGTTAGGTTTGTATAATCTTTAGAGAATGTATATTTTGTTACACCGGGAAAGAAACATAAACTCTTCCCGCCCCCCCACCTTCCCCATCAAGAGGATTCAGAGTTAATTTTGTGTCCCTAACAATGTTTTGCCTTTTAAAGTTATAAATAGAGCCCCAGTGGACTCCCCGGGAAGTCGTTTTGTAGTGGATCGGGCTTCCCCGCCATCCCGCTGCCACAGCTGTCTGCTCTCGTCTGTCCCCAACTCCATCCGTCCCCCGGCGCAGGGCGCAGTACATACTGCAAACCCTCGTCATCGCTAAGAATAAACCTTTCGACAACAACAGCCTCTGACAACCTGAATCATCCTGGGTTCTGGTTTGGGAAAATGACCCAGCTAATGACTTCATGTTAGATGCTCTATATAAGTCGAGGAAAAAAACAGGCGTTCGCAGAGCTCACGGGCTGGATTTAATCAAAGCCGGGAAACAACCTCGGAAGGGATTACGGTCGAGTAAGCGCCACAGTTATGTCACAGGTACGGGGAGATCTGTGTGCGGCTGGCTCTCGTTAGAGCAGGGTGCCCGACAAATGTATTTTAGAAGGTTTGCTTGGAATAGGTTATTAGCAAGTTACTCTCGTTAACCAATGAATTCGGCTTTTCTGCTCTATGTGACTTGTTTGATTATGTTGAAGTGTTTAAACGCTCTGTTTATATATTTTAACAAGTTGTTAGTAGGGTTTATTTGATGAAGGAAAGCAGCTGCCCTCTATGTGGTTAACTAATTTATTTTTTAAATGTTCTCTTTTATCATAAATATTTTTATTTCTGTAGGAAGGGAAAAACCATTTCCACTGCTCTGGTTTGGGATTTTTCACAGAAGGAGTGATTTTTGCTTTTTCAACACGCTTTCTCAGACAATTATTTGAAATTTTGGCAGTAGTTTTGAAAGGACATGACTGTGTGCTGCTGTGTAAAGCTTTTAATGTCCAGGAAAAGAGAGAGTGTGACTGAAAATTATAACTGTTAGGTTACAGTATTTGAGACTGACATTTTGTACTACACACTTTTACGCTCATTTTGTAACTAATGGTTTGTCTTTAGTGGGTTTCCCAATAATCACTGTTTCAAAGTGATCTTAAAATTAGCTCAGAAATGTTGAGGTTTTCACGTGTTATGTTTTCACTGTGAGCTCCGTGCGCCTAGCAGAGTTCTCCCAGTGTGAGAGCTTTACGTGGTGGGTGGGATGGAGAGTAAGAACACTGGGAGTGCACAATCCTTCGACCGCATAGAGTAACTCAGTTCGGCTTATTTTCCTTACTCCAAAGAAAAAGAGACTTAAAAAACCAGTCATGTCCTGTAAACCAACACTTTTTGACTTGTGACAGGAGGAGATAAAGCACAGGCTGCGCTGCTCCGCCAGCTGGGAAGGGCTGCTGGGAAGCCCTGCTTACAAATGCACTTGCGTTGGGAGCAATTAGCTGTCGTGCGGCTGCGACGCTGGCAGCTGCTGGTGCTGGCAGGTCCAGGGCTCACCTCTCTGCCTCGCAGTAACCTTTGTCTAGTTTTTTAGCTGGGGGCCAGCTAATCCACAGCAGCTGTCCTGCTGGAAAATCCACCTGTGATCAAAGCATGAGAGGTTTTCTTTTAAGATAACTGGGGGAAATTCAACAGTTCTGCTCAGCCTGGCTGTGTCTCGGTGCATTGCAAGTGCCTCATTTCCTCACCAAGAGGTCCCCAAGAAGTCCCCTATCCCCATGGAAAGAAACTTCACAGTTACCGTCTCTTGACAATAATTGGTGAAGGACCTGAGTGGGTTTCATATTACTGTTAACAAAACAAGGAGTTTTTTCTGTGTTGGACCAAACACAGGTCTGTACTGTACACCACGCCATGGGCATGGAGGACTGTTCCCATCACATGCCAATTCTCACTACAGACAGGCAGGTGAATCCCTGGCTGAAGGGATGTTTAGTTAACCAGCTAACCAACCAAAAGCTGTTGTGAATTTTGAAGGGTTTGCTGCCACCGTTTCCCCTTGCTTGCTTTGGCTACGCATAGAGTGTTTTCCCCAGAGGTCTTGTGAATGTTTTGTTTCCCACAACACATGCAAAAGGGATTGACAGCGAGCTATTCTGAGCGTTCCCGGGAATTTACAGCCTGCAGGAAACATGCCGAAGGCTCCAGTGCACCCAGCCCACCCCTGCTGAGAGCCAGGCATGCACACACTGTCTCTGCAAGATCCCTGGGATTTGTGGCTCCAGCCATTCGCAGGCCTTGGGGGATCTGTTTCCCTCCACAACTGTTTTTAGCTTTACAGGCGGTGCCTAGAAATGTGTAAGTGGGCTCCACCACTGCCAGAACCCAAATATCAGCAGTCTTACATAGGTGGCAATGGTCAGAGAAGTTTCTCGTTGACGTTTTGGTGTGTGAGTCTATTAGTTGGGAGTGTGGGGGTCTTTCATTCTTTTTAATTGCATCTCCTGTGCCCCTGGCTCCGTGCCACAAGGTCTGCCTGGTGGGACCTTCACAACCTCTCCTTGAAATAGTAAACTGAAGAGGGAATGTTAATGGTACTGACTGCTGCTGATTGACTGACTTTGAAGTGCTAATTTAAAGGCAGGGATAGGCTGATATGAACCAATGTTATCGCGATTTTCTTCTAACATGATAAACTGTAAACAGATTAGTACTTGGATGTTGCAGTGCACCACCTGATGATGCATCTGTATCCGTATTAGATTTCCTTCTCCTTCTTTGGGTTCCGAGTCCAGTGATTCAGATGTGCTCAGTACATGCTTGTAGACAACCCTGTTGAGTGCTCAGATAGTTTTGTTCCCTAAATTTAAGTTCAATAACTATGGGTCAACTTTTAAGTTTATTCCAACTAAATGAAGCCAGACTTCAGAATCTCTCACCAGTTTCCCAAAGAAGTAGTGAGTAGACTGAGGCACAAGCACCATTTAGTAATGAAGGTTTTTTTCCTTCCCAAATATTGGACAGACTCTTGAATTACCTATTTGTACTTGCAGAATGACCAGGCAGGGCTGGACAGAGAAAATTTAAAAACAAATTTAAAAATAAATATGTAAGCAATCAAACGTCTTTTCAAAGGCTGTACAATCAGAAGACAATTTCAGAACAGTAACAGTGGCAACAGATTTTGGGAAGATTTTTTTTTTTGAAATTGTGGTTGTGCAAAGATCTGAAGTACCTGAGTGCACGGTCTCAGAGTTGAAATAGGTGGGATATTGTATTAACAAAAGGCAGCTTTGTTTCCTATGCTTCTAAACACAAAATACTGATGTTTCTTAGCCAGCCCCTGTGAAAAAGAAGCGTCCGCCAGTGAAGGAAGAAGACCTCAAAGGAGCCAGAGGAAAGCTTTCCAAAAACCAGGAAATTAAATCCAAAACCTACCAAGTGATGAAGCAGTGTGGTAAGTCTCCTTGATGGAAATGATTATACAGTCTTCCAAAGTGAAACACTGACTTAATTGCTTTTTTTCAAGTGAAAGGGTGCGTCTCTGACACAGCAGCCAGCTGCGCTCACCGACCCTGATGTGGCCATGCAGGGACTTTGCGTCCATCATCCTGACAGCACCAAGAGGTGCCAACAGGGTCCTGCTTGGAGTGATGGTTCTCCCTGTTTGGACAAAGCGGGAGGGAGAGCCCTGGCTTTGCCTTCTGAACCTAGGGTTCAGACGAAGCCCTAGAACCATATGTGATGTCAATGACTGCCCAAGTTGAAGATTGGAGGCTTGGTCATGGATTAGGGGATTTCTGGCCTCTCAATTGGATGAATTTGATGTGTTTGAGATGAAGCAGAAATTGGGGGGGATAAAAGACAGAAGGTGAGAGAAGAGTGGCTGCTTGCACTGAACACCCCTGGTGCTCCGGTTTTGTGTTGCTTTTCCACCACCAGTGGGAGAGTTATAAGGAAAAATTAATTTTAACTCCTTTTAAGCATAATAGCCTGGGCCTCAGTTTCCAAGTTTCTAAAGCACCTGCAGGGATTTGGTAGTGGACAGGCAATGGTAGTGACCACCTACAGGTGCCATCAGCTGTCCTGTGCTTGGGACGTCCTGTGCTTTAAGGTTTGGGAAGCACACCTGCTTCAAGGTTGGGTTGGACGGGGCTTTGAGCAACCTGATCTGGTTGAAGGTGTCCCTGCCCATTGCAGGGGGGGTTGGACTAGATGGCCTTTAAAGCTCCCTTCCAACCCAAACCAATCTATGATTCTAAGTAATGCACGCATGAAATATTTATCAAATGTGTTTATATGTATTTCAGCAGCACTCATTTTACTCCCCAAATTTGGTGTGGTGCTTCACTGATTGCTTCTCTTGGTTTTCTTTTCCAAGAACAAATGGGCTCTGCAGCACCCTCCATATTCAGCCGGGATCGGACAGGGGGTGAAACAGTCTTTGAGAAACCCAAAGAAGAGCCAGCCAAGAGCGTCTTTGGGTGACAGCGGGGCTCGATGGTGCTCACCGAGATGATTGTTGTAGCGTTTTCCCAAATTTCTGCCCCTTACACTAATGTCACTGTAGACCTAAGTAGCTAATTTCTACTGTAAGTCATTAAGTAGGGAATAGGCTCATGTCAAAGGGTACAACTTCCATGTTGATTTTTGTTGTGTGTTGAACGGTGTTTGCTATAATGGTTTAATAAAAAAATACTGTTGGACAGAGCTTGGCACGTTGTGGTGACTCATTTCAGTTCAGGCTTCGACTAATTCTGTGGACACTTGGGTGTTGCAGGCTATGATCTAGCCTGCCAAACGCAAGGGATAAACATCCAGATGACGCAGTTCTGGTGTCACTGCCATTTCCTCACGCTGCGCCCGGGCCAAGAGGGAGCTGAGCAGGAGCTGCTCGAAGGGGTGTCATGGAATCCTGGAGCCTTCACCCGAATCTGCGCTGATGGCAGCCGCCCCTCAGCGCTGGGGCCTACAGAGGGCGGAGGCCCTCCCCTCAAGGCCGCCCCCCCGCGGCCTTCCCCTCAGGGCGGCTCCCTCACAGCTCCCTCAGGGCGGCAGCGCCATGGTTTGCCCACAGGTGGCTCTGCCGGGTGGCAAGATGCCGGGCTATCACTGCCCCAGAGCCGAGGGAGGGCTTTCAGCCCCTTCCCCGGTGGCTTTTTCCTCATGTCCCGTTGGATCCAGTGAGGAGCGGGGTGACAGAGCGGCAGCGCAGGCACCATGTCCCTCCCCTCACGTCCTCCTCCCGAACGACCTGCTGAGTGACTCTGTACAACAGCAAACCCGCTCTGAGTGGAAGCTGTTTTTTTGCAACTCTGTTCGCATCTTGATTTGCTGCATTAAACACCAAACCTGTTTTCCCCTGAGGTTATAAATTGGAGTATTTCCCCCTCAGCTGGATCTCTGCGCAAACATAGGTGATCCTGTGCTTTGTTGGCAGCTGCTGCGCTTCTCTCAGACGCTGAGTCCCTAGCAGCGCATCTGGGAATGGTAAGGTAGGTGCCACCTTTATTTAAAGAATTACTTTAATTTTGCACAGACTACACCTGTTTAAGAGTTGAAAGTGGTCTCTGCACACCGTGAAGAACATTATCTTTGCCATTGGTGTCACACACACTTGATTGATAAAATGTGCCGATGTCCACAAAGCTGCTGGAGAGGCTGCAGAGTAGGATGTGCATAAGGCAGCAGCAAATCCTTTAGGTTTAAGGGGGAGATTTCCTTAAAAAAAAAATAAAGATATTGCTGGTGTGTTGCTTGCCCCATTTTTTTCACTTTAAAAGATTGTTTGCAGCCAAGACCCTGTCTCCTCTCTCTGCTGGACACTATTTCTCCATGGGGCCTGGGCTCCTCACAGGTAACTCAGCACAACCTTTTCCTCTGAGAAAGACTCCTTCCAGAGCTTTGATGATAAAAACAAAACAAAACACTATGGGGACAAAAGGTTCCTGCCCTGATAACACTGGAGCAGTCCCCACATCAGGTTTAACAAACTCTCCTTAATTAATCTGTGATGAGAAGTTGGCAAGAGGTTGTTTAATAATTAGAAAAATGGAGAAGGCCAAGTGGGACAAAATGTTATTATCACTTGCTTTTGTATGATACATGTGACTGAATAATGCAAATTTGCTCGACTGGGTAGCAGGAGAGGGGAGGTGCTGTCTTTCAGACCTAGCTTAGCTTTGGGTATATTGGTGCCGATTTAGCAAAGCACACAAACCTCTGCGTCCCACAGACTCGCTACACAGATGCAGCATGGAAGCAAAGTTAGTTATCTACCAGAAACTTGGGGTTTTGCTAGCAGCTTTATTTCCAAGATGTCCTCAGGTTTAATTATTTGTTGTGCTTCCCAGTGTGACAGTACTCAGGACCAGGTATCGTTTTTTCTTTTTCTGTCTTTTAAAATGGACCTCATCTAAAAAAATACGCATTGGAGGTAAAAGCATATCCCTGGGACAAAGTTTTTCCCATTTGTGACAGTGAGGTCTGAGGTCTCCTGTATGGATTGCAGGAATCCCCCTCTGTCCCCAGCCTTGCTGCTGTCCTAGAAAAGCTACTGGCTGCTGCTGCAGGGCAGGAGATACTTGTAGGTGAGAGGAACAAATATAAAGCTGCCTGGAGAACTTTTTGTCATCTTTTTCTTCATCCTTGTTAATCTGTTAAATCCAATCATGGAAAATGTATTTTCTTCCTTTTTTTCCCCCCTTATTTTCATAATGAGAAATAGTGACAGAGAAGTGTCTGAACAAAGTCCCAGGGTTTGAGTTTTTCAGTCATTTTGAACTCAGAAGTATCTCCTGTTGTGAAGGTCGATTTAGATCCTTCCTGCAAGGTGGTACAGAATCATTTCACAGCACGTTCACTCCTCGGAGCAAGAAGCACTGGGTGCTGCAGGACTGGTGCCCAGTGCACCAGCAGCAATGGGCACTGAACATCAGCAGGGATGACTGTCGTTGGCGGTTTGTACAGAAACAGGGCAAGGTGCTTGAGTCTGGGGACAAGGCTGAGCATGAGATTGTCCTGTAGCTGCTTGAGCAAGCCACAAAAGGATGCGGGAGGGATTTCACAGCTTCCCTGGCTGCTGGCTGGCTCTCTGCACCCCGGAGCAGGGCAGAACCGACCACGCAGCCTAAATCTGTGCAGTTAAAGAAGCTCTTCAACATCCATGTGATTTTTACATGCGGATATTAAAAAACAGGTGACAGATACACTTAATTAAAGCTAAATCTTTGACTCTTGGGGATCTTAGGCCACTAAATCTATAATCCTGAGGATTAAGGGATTAAAGCATTACACGAGTTGTAGAAGTTAATCAAATGTAAAGCAGTTTTAATTTTTCTCTGTTAAAATATACATATTTTCATGTCCTGCTATATAAACAATACAGTATTTGCAAGTAGTAGTAGCAGTCTGCCTGGAAGAAATTAAATCTGATTTTTATAAAAGTTACTTAAAGCACAAGCCTTGTAAGACTTGGCTGTGCTCAATAGACTCTTTATGGTGAAGCTGTAAATGTCTGTCGAAACTGTTGAGCCCTGCATTAGTGTCTCTTTGCAAATCCAGAGGCCCCTGGAAGCATACTCTCCACCTGGATTTTTTGTCTGTAAAATAGCAATGAAGCAAACCCAGATGCATGTATGTCCACAGGATCTTTGTGTTAATTTAGAACAATTAATGGCATCAGCTGCCATGGAGTTATTAGAGGGAAAATGCTGTCAAAAAGCAATATGAAAAAGTGGGGGTTTGTAGGCAGACTGCAGGTTTAGTAGAGAAAGGGCTGTCTGCTACCCTGGAGCTGCCAGCACAAGTGGGAGGTGGTAGGAGGGCAAGATTCAGCCTTTATCTGCTCAGGGTTGAGAGGAGAGGGAGATTACATCTCTCCACCGCACTGGCTGGTTGCACATTAATGTATCCGTATACGTGTGTTCATATGAATACATACAGGAACCAGGGGCCGACGCAGCAGCTATATATGCCTAAGAGATCCTCTGAAGTACAGCCCCAAGGGATGTTATTTTTCTTGTCCTGTTGATATATTCAAGATTTCAAACATTATTTTTTTTTCATGCGGGAATGAATGAACCAATGAAGCCTGCTGAAAGCTTTCCAATGAAACAAGCAAACGTGGCATAGGAAAGGCTCGTGACAGTTTGCTCCCTGACCCCCATTTCTCACCTTGATTTCTCTAGTCGTAGAGCTGAGGAGATGAACTTTAGAAATGGGTTCTGCCCAGGGTTTGTTTACCCCACTGCCTAAAAAAACAATTATTTCCCCCTGTAGAAGAGGCAGACATTACAGCTACTTGGATGGAGAAATATCTTTTAAATTGTCATGCAAGCTGTCTTGCAGTAGGAGACTGCTTTAACGCCACATGAGTGAGCATGTATTTTAGGAATTATGTTAGTATAACACTAACCATAATTATTTGTGTATAAAATCGGACTTTTAAGATAATTTCTTTTTCCAGGGCTACAAGCCAACACTTGACCAAGAAAAACTTCACAGGAACTGTTTGAAGTCCCTGTTGTATGAAGACTATTGTAAAATAGGAGGTGAAAAGAGTCATCCCACTCAGTTTCTAGGTAAATTCAGGTGCAGAGCCCTCCCAGCACTGACCTTTTGTGCAAAAAGCCCCGCTGAGCCCATAAGTTAAAGGCAGCTTTGCAGAATCCCTGGCTGGATATGTCGCAGCTGTGTTGGGGCCAGGTGTTGTTGCGCTCATTTTTGGGTGCTTGGTCTCTTCTTTGTACACTAGCATATGTGTAGGTACAGGCACTGACTTAGGGCCTCTCTCCCTAAGGAGTCCAGGCAAGGTCTGATTACTTTTACCGTTTGGCTAAAGATAAGCCACAACTGACTTTGCTATTTGACAAACAAGGATTCTGGATTGTCAGAGGAAGCAAAAAGGGATGTTTCAAGGGGGCCACTCCATACTTTTCATGGGCCAGCTGGGCAGGGGGAAGCACAAAGTTTGAAGAAGTCACTAGCTGTAAAATCTCATGTGAATGTTGCATTTCTTGGCCATCTCCAAGTCTCTGAAGTGCCTGAGATAACATTATGGCATTAAGGATGTTCCCTCTCAAATTATTGTTTGGTTATGGTAGAGATTCATGCATCCAAAAATGCAGCTTGTTGCACAGACCAGTTCGTCTGCCTGTGGAATTTCACGTGCCATAGTGAGATCTAAGTTTAAAAAGAAAATATAAGGATTTCTTAACTTTAGAATTTTAATGTTTCATAATGCATAATGTTTAACAGCAAAGATTTGTTGGAAAAAATAAACGTTAACTGAGTCCAAGTTTTACTTATGTTTAACATGTAAATATTAAGTTTCTGGGTCTCTTCAAAGTCTACATAATGTCACCAAGTACAAGTTACTCATTAACCGATTAAGATAAACCAAGTTTTCATTTGAAAATTTGGTATTTCGAAAATGGAGGAGAGAACGTTGTTCGCATTGATGGTCTTTTCCTCATTCGTAGTATTAGCAGAAACTGTTGCTCAAAAGGTATTTGCTCTATTTTTTATTTAACAATATCTTTATATTTTTTTATTTAACAATATCTAGCTGGCCAGGTAATGCAGGTAACTCCTCTGGTAACCACCACTTGTGGAGCCTCGGGCGTACTGTGTCATGATTTCAGAGCTTTTGGTCCTTTTAAGGCCTCTTTGGTTGGTTGTTTGGGCTGTTATACTATAAATGTGTCAGGAGAGCATTTGCAGGTGTGTCTGATCACACTCTTCCCCAGGGTTGTAAAAATATCAAATTTAAGGGATCAATGGGTCTTCTTTGGCCACCAGATGAGGTTTGGATCCTGACACAGTGCCATTACAGCAGGACCAAATGAAGACCGTTGCAGTGCCAGAAGGTTTCTGACTGTTTTGTATCATCTCAGGGTGCATGTGACTGGTCTTATTTTAAAAACATCAATATTAGAGGAATGGAGGAAACCTTGTGTTGGAAGGGTTTTGTTTCCATCACGACTATTCAGAAAAGTGTGAGCTGCAACCACAATGCAGGCAGGTTTCTGGGAAGCAGGGACGGGTTTTGCAGCTGCCACAGGGGTGGCCAAGAGCTCTGCAAGAAGCCATGGATGTGGTGTGTGGGCCTGTGGTACCTTGTGGAGTGGCCACAAGTCACTCCCCACTGCTTTCGGGTGCTCATCTGGGGCTGCTCCTCTCCTGCCTCCTTCACTGAGGGCACAGAAATGCCCCTCACTGTGTTGCATCCCCGCTGTGTGCTCATGTGTGCTGGCCGCAGCCTAAAATGCTGCTGGGGCTGGGCAAGCACAGGGGTGCAGGTCCCCGTCCCCTTGTCCCCACAGTGTCCCTTCGGCACGTGGCATCAGGGTGGACTTTGCGTAGGACAAGCTCCTCCTGTGCCAGAAGGATGCTCCGTGGGCAGCGATGGCCACCACGTGCCTGCGCTGCCCCAATGAGCTACGAGTTGAGGCTCTGCAGTCATGGCAAAACCTCCCCTCCAAGCGTGCCATGGGCAGGTTTGAGCATGGCAGGGCAGCAAATGTGTGCAGAGGTTCTTGGGGACACTCGGAAAGCCTTTGGGAAGAGGCACTCCTGGGAGAGACAGCACCAGCCTGGGCAGGGAGGGCTCCAGCTGGGGGCAGGCAGCGGGGAAGCACGGGCAGGGAGAGGGACCCAAAGTGCCAGGATCAGGGAATAACTGTTCTCTCGATTAATATTTTTGGGTTTTATCCTATTTTCCTGGATTGTCAGTAGGCATTAGGAAATGAAACTCACTCTGGCAACGTATGATGAAAAAAGAAACAGCCATCCGTTACTCACATGGCGGTGGCTGTGGCACCTCCTGCCCTGATGCCCAAGCACAAAGCTGTGATCACAGCTTTGTATTGAATGGCCATGTTTAGCTTGATTAAACTTTTTAATTTCAGCCAGTGCCCTAACTAAGAAGAGGGCAGTGGATGCTCTTGATTGGTGAGCAAAGTACAGAAGATGAATTATCAAAATAACTAAAGATCAATGAGCCATTCAAAAGACTTGTGAGGCTGGAAAAGTAAAAATAGAAGTGTGATGATCTGCTTCGATGCCGAGCTTTTTTATTTTAATAAACTATTGGACTATTGTGAGACTGGTGATGTCCAGATCAACCCTTCTTAGTGTCACTGAAATACAGGCAGAGCCTTTAAAACAGACATCCCAAATGCAAAAGGTGGGTGTTTATGGAGGCAGATGCTCCAGGCAGTTCCCAGTCCAGACACCCTGTGGGGTGTTCCTGGGCAGCTCCAGAATGGTGCCTTCCTCCTCAGGCATCGGGGGCCCTGGAAGCACCAGACCAGGAGAAACACAAGCGCTCAAAGGGCATCCCTGCTTGTGCTACCAGCAGGCCCACATGGGGTTTCAAATCTGCTAAACATTGTATGTGACACAAGGTAACAAGCTGAAAAACATGCAGCAAAGTCAACAGCTGGGAGAGCAAATAAATAGTCATGCAAAAAGCTAGCAAGTCTCTTTTCCTGGGTCGAGTGCTTAAAGAGGCATCTGGTTTTTCTGAGGTTCTTCTTAGGGGTGACACAGCAGTTGCTTCAGAGTACCCTGAGGAGAGAAGACCACAGAAAAAGGCTCAACTGAAGCCTTCTGTGGAACAACAACATGTTGCAGATGTAGCTGCAGATTTTGCATGGGGCTGTGGTTGCATTTGCAGAGATGTGAATAAGCAGATGGCCAGCCTGGTCATGAACGATTCACCCTCCCCGGTTCCCGCTGGACCTTCTAATAGTTCATTCCAACGACATCACCCAGCTAAGGCCTGCTCAGGAGCAAAAACTGTTTCTGTTTCAGCCTGTTGTGTGGGTTTTTTTTTTTCCAGCACGCTATTGAAATCTACAGCCTCCGCATGGACTGCAAGGTCACATCGCGATTTGCTCACACTGTCATCACCAGCAAAATTGTCAACCGAGCTAATGAGTCCAGAGAGGCGACCTTTGAAGTGGAGTTACCCAAGACGGCCTTCATCACAAACTTCTCCATGTAAGACGGGTCCTTATCTGTGGTGTGAAGGAGACAACTCTGGAGGCTGGGGGGAGGGTTCATCTTTCTTCTCAGGAGATGCTGAGCAAAAAGCACAAGGAGTTTGTGCTCTGGAGGGTCCTACACAAAATGTTCTATGGGGCAAAGTAGTAGGCAGCCAAATAGAAAGAAGGTGCCCAGGGCCAGGGTGAGGCTGCCTGCTGCACAGTATGCGTGACAAACGTGCTCGTGCTCGGTGGTGATGTTTCTCCTGCTCCAGCCTCCCCAAGACCCTGCAAGGAGGAGGGCTGTGTTGTGGTGGTGGCTCCTGGTATCCTTCTGGGCAGGGTGGGATTTTGTCCCCTGCGTGTGCCCCAGGGGCCACAAAGAGCAGCGTTCCTCTTGTTTCTTTCCCCAGTGCTTTCCTTCCAATATTAATTAATTTTTATGGAAACCAAACAGGTCCATCGACGGTAAAGTATACCCGGGAATAATAAAGGAGAAAACTTCTGCTCAAAAGGAATATGACACTGCGGTCTCGCACGGGCAGAGCGCCGGCCTCGTCAAGTACGTTGCTGTCCTGAGTAAGGCTGCTTCAGTGGTCTTCCTTGGCTTCTTGTTTGGCTGAGGGTGGATTAAACCCTGGAGCCAGCTACCTCTCAGCAAGGATAAATGTGAAAAGCAGCCTTGGATTCTTATTGGGAGGGACAGTGTGCGTGTGTGCATATATATATATTCACATATATATGATTTATATCTGGTCCTGCGATGGGCTTCAGTGGGAGGTGTCACCGTTTAGTGTTGCCCCGGGACTTGCTGTCATGTGGGAGCTCCTTGCTGGGTTGGGATGGTGCTCAGTCGTTGAGTCTGCTTCCCCACAAGCACAGAGGACAATGGTACTTGAGCAGACATCACATTTTCAGGGTATATTTAATTTGTGTTTCCCATGTATTCAGTCCCAGTTCTGTTTGATCCCAGTCTGAGGCATGCAGAGATTTCTGCTGCATTTCTCGACTTGCATATGCAGCACCCATGGCATGCTAATATAACATATGTGATGTATATAATACTGCCCACAATGTAAAAAGTCTCCATGAAGAGAGAAGACTCTGTTTTTTTTATTTATTCCATGAGGCCCCTTGGCCATTGTTTAGCACAATTCATAAACTTTGGCCACCACAAACAAGCCTTTCCCACAGGATGTAAATCTCTGTTCTCCGCCCCCCACAGAATCACAGGCAGAAAACTGGAGCTGTTTCACGTGTCTGTCAGCATTGCGGCTGCCAGCAAAGTCACTTTTGAGCTAACATACGAGGAGCTGTTGAAGCGGCAGCTGGGGAAGTTCGAGCTGCTGATCAAGGTCCGACCGAAGCAGCTTGTTAAGCACTTCCAGGTGAGCTGTCCCAGCCAGGGCTGGGCAGGGAGCAGCATAGTATTTTTCAGGCATGGCCATGCTCCCTCTGAGATGCTGATGCTGTCTTCTTCTGCACTGTCAGATCGATGTGCACATCTTTGAGCCCCAAGGCATACGCTTCTTGGAAACAGACAGCACATTCATGACAAATGAGTTAACTGAAGCGCTCACGAAAGTGCAGAACGAAACCAAGGTAAAGCAGCAGCTGCCAGATGTCACTGCCAGTGGCAGCTTTAAATTATGTTGCTTTTAATCTTTTCTTTTGATTGCTTTGCAGGCTCATATTTTATTTAAGCCATCTGTAGATCAACAGAAGATAAATCCTGAACTTGCTGAAACCCTCCTCAATGGTGACTTTGTTGTGCGTTACGATGTTAAGAGAGGTGCCACTGCGGGTGATATACAGGTAAAAAAGATAGAAATAAAAATGTTTTCAGATCATAGATACATCTGAATGTGAAGTGCAATCAGCAAAGCAGTAACATTTACTTCAAAATACCAAGAGTCACAGGAAAAGCTATTTCCATTAAGCCAGGGTGAGCAGGAACTGATGTTCGGTAAATCCCCAGAGACACCGGACACATTGCAAGAATGGATCATCCATGAAAAAAAAAGCCAATCTTTCAACTTTTGTTTCAATACCGAATCTATATTGCTACTTCATAGATGTCTCTTTATATTCTTTATTATTATTATTATTATGGCTGATCTAAGGTGTTATCCTGCCCCTCTACTCTGCCCTGGTGAGGTCATATCTGGACTACTGTGTCCAGTTCTGGGCTCCCCAGTTCAAGAAAGACAAGAAACTACTGGAGAGAGTCCAGCAGAGGGCTATGGAGATGATCAGGGGACTGGAGCATCTCTCTTATGAGGAAAGGCTGAGAGACCTGGGCATTTTTAGCCTGGAGAAGAGAAGATTGAGAGGGGACCTCACCAATGATTATAAATATCTAAAGGGCAGGTGGCAAGAGGATGGGGCCAGACTCTTTTCAGTGGTGCCCAGTGACAGGACAAAGGGCAACGGGCACAAACTGGAACACAGGAAATTCTGTCTGAACATAACAAAAAACTTCTTTGCTGTGAGGGTGGCAGAGCACTGGCACAGGCTGCCTAGAGAGGTTGTGGAGTCTCCTTCTCTGGAGATATTCAAAACCCCCCTGGATGTGATCCTGTCCAACCTGCTGTAGGGAACCCTGCTTTGGCAGTGGGGACTGGGACTAGATGATCTCCGAAGGTCCCTTCCAATCCCTGCCATTCTGTGATTCTGTGTATTTGTGGCTTCTTGTAAATGAAGTTTAGAGGAATGTGATTTATATAGCTATTAAAATGACTGCTTGGTTTTCTTTTATTTTTTTGTGGCAAGTGAGGCATAACTAAACAGAGCAGGAACTTAAAAATATTTATGGATCAATCCTAGGGAATTTATCCTAGGGAATAAAGTACATTATTTTCCATACCATTTCACTAATGAAGTATGCATCCATGTGGTAAAAGATGGCAGTCACAGTCAGTGAGCAGAGATGTGCTCATAGGTGATAATAAAGAGGTAACATAATATACAGTGATAATACAGATATATCATACATATGGCACTGAGGTATATAATATACATGTGCTGTTCTCTTGTAATTTGCTCTCTACATATAGTCTCACTTCCAGCTAGAAAATACATTTTAATAGTTCTTTGATTTGGGCTTATCTAGAAGAACAGAATGCTGAGCCTGCACACACCCCTTCTTGCTATGCTAAAATATTAAGATGCAATATTTATTTATTTGATGTAATTTTATACATTATTTCATTCTGTATTTCAGATTGTCAATGGGTATTTTGTGCATTACTTTGCACCCCATGAAATGCCAGTGTTTCCCAAAAATGTCATCTTTGTTATAGATCGAAGTGGCTCCATGGCAGGCAGAAAAATCGAACAGGTAACTTACTTTGAAATACTGACCTCTGCTTGCATCAGTCACACACACACCAGCATTTTGAGAAAGTGACTGTGAAGTTCACTTTCAAAACACATGCTGGTTTTGTACACAGCAAAATTTGCAGACATGCAGAAATTCTTGAAAATACGTCTGTGGAGATTTAAACTATCAAAGAGCAACTTTTTTCTGATATGGCTATTCTCACAGGTATCAAACTTTAAAGGAAGAAAGCACTTTTTCTGTCTCTATCTTTGCAGAATATTTTGCTTATGATTTTTTTCTTGAATGAAGTTTTAAGAATTAATTTGTCTGGTTTACCTTCATTGATGACTGTGTATATAGCTTTGCTAGAGAGCAGACAAGCCCACTACAGCCCTCATAGGTGTTCTTTTGTGTCTGTAAGTTAAGTGAATCAGACGTTTCTGATGCTCTCAACCTGAAAAATGCCGTTAGGACTAAATAAGGGCATTGGGCTGCATCTTGAACAGTGCTGGAAGGAAACCCCCTTATTACACTGCAATTCCGATCCCAGTTCTGTCAGAGAAGTAGAAACATTCAAAGTGATGATTGTTTTCTCCTTGGAACAGACGAGGGATGCCCTGTTGAAGATTTTGCAAGACCTCCGCCTGGAAGATCATTTCAGCTTTATCACCTTTAACAGCAAAGTAGTGCAGTGGAAGAGCTCTTTGCTGCAAGCCACTGCAGAGAACGTGGCCAGTGCTGCAGGATTCGTGCAAACTCTTTCTGCTAGTGGAGGTACAAGGCACCAACTAGAGGCCTGTAACAACACACCCGCACCCAATATATTATATTGCTTAGAAAAAAATATTTTTGTTAGTCATGTACTACCACAGAACTACCATCTGTGCTCACAAAGCGAGTAAGTTTTCAATACTTATGAGCGATGAGTGGGATAGAAAAGCTGGTTGTGGGAGGGGATGGATTGGTGACTACATTTTGATATGGATATACAGAGAGATGGTCACATCACATCTATGAACTATACAAACCACAAAGTTTTGTTTCAGATTTTTATAACAGAGATGGCTGGAAGATTTCCAGATACTACATTTTTTTTCTACAGAAAAATGGCAATTCACTCAACATTTGACAGAAATTTGCTGATTTTTTTTTTAATATCAAGGGTCCCTTAAAATAAAATGTATCCAAAGTTATACTCCTGTGTAAGCCACACTACAGAAACAAAATAATCAAAACAGCCATGAAGTATTTAAATTGCTGCATCACTCAGTGCACTTTGTTTTATTATTTAGTTTTAAGGACATCTAAAAGGCTAAATCCCCTGTGAACGTTACACTGTTAGTATTAATGTAGGTTTTCTCATCCCAGGTGCTAACGTCAAATAAAGCCCACCTGTGCCCAGCTCTTTTCTTTGACTTCTCAAATAAGGCTAGGAGACATCTCTTAAATGTAGGTTAACAGATGACAGTGTGTTTATTTAAGCACTTTTTAATGGCTCTAGACAGGTTTGTATTTGCCATGATTTATGTGTGGAAAACGCTCCCAAAAGAATACTCCAGCATTGCCACTGCAATATAATACAGCATAATTAAGCCCAGTAGGCTAAACCCCTAAATCGTCGTCTCTCTGAAGGATTACTTTCTGCAGAAAACTTTAAACAACTCTGCAGGGCGTCTGCAGATGAAGTGCACTGATTTCTTCAGATGATTACCCTTTTTAGGTGAGTGATGCCTGCTTTCTCATTATAGGCACAGATATCAATCGTGCCCTGCTGGCTGCCGTGAGCATGCTGGATAAAGCCAAGAGGCTGCCAGAACGGACTGTCTCCATGATTATTTTGCTGACAGACGGCCAGCCCACTTCTGGTGAGTAAATACTGGCCCCAGTCCTCTCTCTCTCCTTAATTATTTTTTTTTTATCTCTTACACTTGCATCCCAGATGTTGATAGACATAGTCTGTGTTTCAAAAAGAGCTCTGGTATAAGCGGGCTGGGCTATTGCTGGATCTGCGTCAAAGAGAGGATGATTATGAGAGGGCTCTGGCAAGGGCTGTAGGAATTGATGGCAGAGACTGCCTGCCCACGACTACACGTCCTTTAGCTGGGAACTGTATTCCTAAATACCATTGGCTTCACAGTTCACAAAATCGAGGGAAGTTTTGGAGATAATCCAGGCACAGCTGAAATGTGAAAGTAAAATACTTAGAGCAGAAACACGGACATTTTGCATATATTATGTACAGTCCAATTGAAGAGGTATCGCTCATATTTCTTCACCCTCTTTGCCCCAAACTTGAGGTATTTTCAAGGTGCCTCTTGTTTTGTATTCTTTTCTGTGTCTAGCTCTTCACTAGTGATCAGCTGTGATAGCACAAACCAGAGGGTTGAGATAAAAATATTTGGTTAAATAAAGAGTAACTCCCACTGCAATGGCACAAACATCACTTGTTCTGAACAGGAGTTTGTGCAAGTTTTGTGTGGCACCAGCATCTCTCTGAGGCCAGCAATATTAATTCAGCTGTAAGCTCTCTAATAAGATCAGTCTGCCTTTCAGATTGCGTGATCCGTACTGCTTTGGGGTTGGCTTATTTGTTTGGGTTTTTTAGTAAAATTCAGCTCACGGTGCTGCCTGCTCAGCACAGCCACAGTGACTCTCAAATATCCCTGAGCACATTGCACATCCACAAGTTGGCTAGAAATCAAGCCGGAGTGGAGTGCCAGGTGAATACGTGCAGCGTTATTGCACACACTGCCTTCCTTGGCAAAGCAGGCTGAAAGGGAGAAATTTTGAGACCCCACCTCGAGTACTGTGTTCAGTTTTGGGCCCCTCACTACAAGTAGGACATTGAGGTGTTGGAGCGTGTCCAGGGAAGGGCTACAAAGCTGGTGAGGGGTCTGGAGGACAAGTCTTATGAGGAACGACTGAGGGAACTGGGATTGTTTAGGCTGAAGAAGAGGAGGCTGAGGGGAGACCTTATTACTCTCTACAACTACCTGAAAGGAGGTTGTAGAGAGGTGGGGGCTGACCTCTTCTCCCTGGTGACAAGTGCTAGGACGAGAGGAAATGGGTTCAAGTTATGTCAGATGACGTTTAGATTGGATATTAGGAAATTTTTTTTCACTGAAGGGGTTATTAAACATTGGAATAGGCTGCCCAGGGAGGTGGTGGATTCGCCATCCATGGAGGTGTTTAAAAAAAGGGTAGATGTGGTACGTGGGGACATGGTTTAGAAGTGGTTTTGTCAGGGTAGGTTAATGGTTGGACTTGATGATCTTAAAGGTCCCTTCCAACCTCAGCGATTCTATGATTCTGTGATCTGAGCTGCTTCCATGACATTACTGCAGGCAGTGACAGTTCTTGCCTGGAAATGCTGATAGAGAAGCTGTCCATACAGGGCCCTCAGCTCTTCAAATGGGATAAGAAGATGGTGTGAAAATCTTTTCCCTTTGTCACGCAAAGGGGCTGGGAGAGAAGCATGGCTGAGTTAATTTGCAGTTTGTCTGAATTACACCATTAACCAATACATTATTCTCTGAATTCATGCTTATAATTGTTATGGATGGTACTTGTCTTCTCAATGCTTGATCAAGTGTTTCCATCCCTTGCGCTGTTAAATTGTAGTGTGTGTCCCGTCTGTCCTAAAAACCTCCTCTAGCCCCCATAATCTTGTAAAATATTTTGCACTTAGCCATGAAGACATGAGTAGAAGACAGTAAAAGTCATGAAGGGAGAGAATTGGGTTCTGGCACTCCAAATGCAGAGTGATGCTTTCATCTCCAGCTCTGTCAACGGAATTCTGTCCCATGTGTTTTTAATATTTTATTCTGAATTATTTTGAAGAGTTTTTAAGCAGAACTTGCTGCTGTCTTTTTGTACTTTAAAAAAAACCAAACACACACAGGTATGTTTTTCTTTCAATTACAGGTGAGAGTAATGTGGAAGTCATTCAAGAGAACATTCAGAAAGCAGTCAATGGGAAATATGCTCTTTTCTGCCTTGGCTTCGGGTTTGATGTCAGTTATAAGTTCCTGGAGAAAATGGCCCTAAGCAACGGGGGAATAGCACGTCGTATATATGAAAACGCTGATGCAGCCTTGCAGCTCCAGGTCAGGTCTAAGGAATATGCCAGAAAAGCCATTTATCAGCTACAGGTTATATATAGTCTTAGCAGCAAAACCACAAATTTTCTGAGATGAAGAGTTGGGTTTGAGTTTATCTGTTAATTTTGGGGAGGGAGGAAGGCAGGCAGTTTTGGGTATCTGAGGGTTTGTATTCTAACCATGCCTCAAAATTGAAGTTCTCCTCAAATCAGCTGCATTTGGACAAACCTGGAGACTCACACATATCTGTACCTCTGCAAAAAGACAAATTGTCTGGGGGAGATGATGGTGGAAAAACTTCTGTTCTCGGGTCTGACTTCAAACCACTTGAAGCCGTATTATTGGAAGCTGTTTGTTACGGTTTCCCTAAAAATCAGTGGGTAGTTTGAGGCACCTACAGGCAAACTGGCTTTGCAGTACCACCAGCCTCGATCTTTTCTGTCCATCTGGAGAGGGGTTATAACTTTCAGGACATTCTCTTTTTTGGGAACCACTTCTACCTGTTTTGGCTGGATATGCAGAGACTGGGTTTGTTTAGTGCCAGCCCCAGTCCAGAAAGAGAAAGATCAATCCTCAGGATTGGTCAAGTTTAAAAAATCAGATGTGAAAAGTGGCTAAAGCGAAACACCTAACTGGGTGGGATGGTGATAATGGGGATGCTGCTTGGGTACTTGAATTACCATGGGAAATATAGTTCATATGGCATTGCCAGCCTGGCTGGAGAAGGTGTGCTGAACCTTGGGAAGAAACACTTCTTTTCCCCTAGATTTGCAGCAGTCTTACACTGCTGAAGAAAAAGCTTTGCTTCCTTCTTTTTAAGGGCGTTTTAGACATTCAACATACTGCTTTGCATAATTTTGCAGTCATTTGTGCGTGCTCTCTCTCTCTGCTTCTCTTCAGGGCTTTTATCAAGAGGTGGCTACCCCAATATTAATGCAAATTGAAATGCAGTATCCAGAAAATGCCATTGAGGGATTAACCAAGAACAATTTCAAGCTGTTTTTTGAAGGATCCGAAATTATAGTATCTGGAAAAATTAACAATGAGCTGGATCTTTTGCCAGTAGAAATTAAAGCTCAGTCAGTAAGTGTTTAGTTTACTAACTGTGAAAAACATGTCTCCCTTCTGTCTTTTATAGTGCAATAGGAGACTTCAAGAAGTCTTTTGTGTGCAATATATGTTCTCTATTTGAGAACTCAAACAATTTTACCCTCCTGAATTTGCTACAAAAGAAATCCTTGAAATATATCCACAAATAAGTGAAAAGCAATTTCAATCCTTTCAAAACCACAATATCTTGGGCTTTCAAGCATTTTTAGGGAAATGGTTTGTACTTCTAGAATGAAGAAGGAAATCTGAATTATTCATCTCAAAAATGTTGAAATAGAACAATTTCATTACCTCCTTTTTTCAACAGTGTTCCGACTCCAGAAATATATATCCAAAACACATGCTGCTTTGGTAGTTTGGAGTTGCATTTTCCAATGGGAACGGACAAAATTGAAGGACAAAAAGGGCACTTTAATACTGAAAGATGTTCTTTTAAGTCTAATAATGTGACAATAAAAGAAGTCTGGAACTGTTCTTTTGATGGTCAGTTTCCTCCCTCTTCAGCATGCTAGTGACTTGACTCTTAAAGAAGAAGCAAATGTCAAAGAGAAGGAGCAAGTGTTTCAAAATCAAAGTTACATCTTTGGAAATTTCATAGAGAGGCTGTGGGCTTACTTAACCATTCAACAGCTTCTGGAAAAATCGTAAGTTATTTTAATGTTTCATATTACAAATGTGTAACTTATTAAAACACAAATTCCTTATTCACAAATTATATGATTAGAAAACACAAACAGTTCTGTTTCTGCAGGTAGTATTAAAAACATAATATACTGGAAGAATACTACATTACTGTATGAGGAACATGAGGTGCCTTTCAGTTTATGATAGTGCTGTATCATTAAATGTGTAGATATATGTATATATACATATAAAAACATAATATAAAATACTCTTCATGACATTACTATGAAATAGATTTTAATTGCATGGATTGTGTTAAGCTGTTGTTACACATTGTCTCTGTATATTTCTGTATTTGTCTATTGTCTGTAGATAAGTGAATGACAATAGCTAGTAAAAAACCAATATGTCCGTAAGACATTTCATAATTCATGTATCTATTATTTTTATGTATTTGAACCATACATAGGCTCCAGTGTTGCAAACAATTACGCATCTTGTCATGGTTTGGGCCTCAAACCAGGATGCGTTCCCATAATTTCAAGCACGCGAACAGCAGAGTTATCCCAATAAGACACCCTTCAGTAACAAAAATATTTGTTAAGACACAGCTAATATGAAAAAGAATCTGAAGATGACCTGCTCATAGTCTCTGTACGTTATTTCTTCACCATTAACCCAGACTTTAGTATTTCAGCAGAAGAAGAGGACCAGAAAACCCTGGAGGCGCAAGCCTTAGAGCTGTCTCTGCGGTACAGCTTTGTTACGCCCCTCACTTCCATGGTGGTCACCAAACCTGCTGACCAGCAGCAGACAGAGCTGGCGAACAAACCCACCGAAGCTGGTAAATGGGGCATCAAACAGCTCCCCCTGAAACATGCTGTTGTTATTGGTGATTTGTTGTTGACCTTCAGTCTAGGTTCATTTTATGGTGATGTGACATGGTAATAAACCACATCAGAGGCAGGAGTTCAGGGGTTAGCTGCTTTTCAAAATAAAATGTACAGGATTTTTTTAAAAGGTGAAGTGGTGAAATTGGCACTACTATTGAAAGGGAAAATAATTTGTTTAAATATTAACTAAAAGTAATTTAACAGTTGTTACTCACCTCCCCTGCCACTCCAGAGGGATTCTACACAGTTCTCTGTAGTGTTAAATTGGAAAAATGAATGCAGGGGAGGCAAGCATGCCATCGCTAGGAGTCTTGCACGTGCTCTAGCTACCTATCCTTTAACACAAAAACACTTGGCACCTGAAGCCCAACACCCACTTGTCCCAGTGTTCTGGTTTGCGCATGGGTAAAGTCAGTCAGTGTTGACTGCATGACACTAATCTATCCCTCTTCCTTGTGTTAGATAATGAGAAGCCCAGCAGTTTTCCAGTAGGAGGTAAGTGTTTTCTTCTTTTCCAGTAGCACATTTCCATAATAGTGGCTACTAAAAAAAAAAAACCAAACCAAAACAAAAGAGCTCATGGTGGTGGTTCTATAGAGGGCAGTATCTGAGATTTGGAAAAATACGTGAAGCAAAACATAAGCATTGACTGCTGAGGTCTGTGCAAGGCTTGGGTGGATAACATGGTCAAAGGGAGAAAATCTTCCATTCTTCCATTCCAAGTCTCGGAGGTCAAAATTGTCTTTACTCATGGGGAAAAGTAGTTCTTCAAGTGAATGGTGCTAATGAGGATTTCTGCTTCTTCTTACCATGTGTGAAGCATCTGTCAAAAAATTAAGGTCAAAATATTTTGGACTGACTTCTGAGGATGACTTAGGTATTTTTTTCTCTCTTTCTGGAAATAGATCTGTTTGAATACTAATTTTAAACTTCCAGCATTATTAATCTGATAATCCCAGCTATAATAATACATCATCATAGCAATGCTTTTATAGGTGAAGAGCCCTAGTTTTGCTTTGCTTCTTTCACAGAAATGTGTTGAGGGAACTACAATGCTGCCCCATTCTCTGAAGGTTACCTGTTTCAAAGTGGTACTGGAAAGTTTAATAGCAGAAAACTCCCTGACCCGAAGCACGGCGCAGCGACTGTTCTGCCCTGCTCAGGGGGCATGCAGGGCTTGGCACTGCCCTTCCCTCAAAGCTTCCTTTGTCTGCAAGAGGGGAAGAGTTTGGGGCCACCTTTGCAGCACAATGTGTTTCTGTAGTAGATGCCAAGCCCTACATCGGTGTGATGGTCAAGCAGGCACGGCTGCTTGAAGGCACAGGGATGTCCCCACGGGATCTGGGGCTGGTGCCCACCTGAGCATTGCTGAGCACTGTTGCTGTCTGTCATGACAGACCAGCACGGCTGGAGTGGCCAGGGAGAAGAAGGGGCAAACAGGATGCTGGGTTACTGGGACCAAGGGAGGTTTTGATGCACTCTTTTGCATGTTGTTGCAATTTCTCTTGTTTAGCTCGTCTGATTTTTAACTGCCAGTAAAAGCTCTTGTCTGGGGCCGCAGCGCTCCAGAGGGACCATGTTGTGAGCCTGTGCTGGTGCTGTAGCTCCACATGGAGCTGGTTCCTTCACAGAGCCTCCCGTGCCGGGTGCCCCCTTCCACTAGAAGCACACGCCCTCGCACTGGGGACTGGCAACTCTGCTGCACCAGCAGCACCACCACTGCCCGCCTCCACATCCCCATGCGCAAGGCGGGTGAGGCCCCAAGCATCCAGCAGACAATCAAATCCCTTTTTGCAAATCCCTTCCTTGCAAAGTTCTTAGTAGGTTCTGTCCATTTCCTTCCTTTGGCTGGAAATATTTTCCAGGTATCAGTGCTCGTGCTCTGTGGACTTCATTGCTGCAGATAGTTTACTTTGGGAAAGGATGACAGATGCAGCTGGAGAATTACAGATTTGATTTTGACGTGCTCCTGTAAGGCTTGTAATACAATCATGAATAAAATACTAATACTCTCTTTTCTTTCTCCAGATGCTTATAGACTGAGGAGTGGAGCACCTCCTGGTAAGCGCTCCTCCTTTGTTTTTATTCAGAATAATTTTATAAAGTTCATTTCATATGTAGGTTCATAGCACCATTACTTTAATAAATCCATTTTGATTGTGGATACCCAATTGATATAGAATTTAGTTTTTATTATATGTATTTCAGTCCACAGATATTTTCTAGCAAACTGTAAACTTTTGAAAACAATCTTGATCCCTTTACAGAAAAAAAAATTATTGTACCTCCTAAAAATAAATGTGAAAGATCTGGAAAAGCATGTATTAGTAAGCTGAAGGAGATGGGTATAAAAAAAGAGAGAATTTACCAGTCCTGGGGTTTGCTGAGTGAAGTCAATGTGGGGCACAGCTGTCTGCACAGTGACAATACTTGTCCTGCAAGGAAGGAATTCCAGGACACAGCAGCTACAGAGCTCAGCATCGTTATGAGCTCCCATAGCGCTGAGCAGAGAAGGTGCCGGCTGCTGCCTGCACAGGATCTGCACATGTGCGCTCATGCCTGTAGCCACAAAAGTCAGCAGGCAACGAGCAGGAGGGATTCCCTGTTTTAAAGGGTGGGGAAGGAGATGCAAGGCATGACCCCAAACTAATGAAACATTGGAAAAAACTTTTATTTCAGGTCGATGGCGCTCTGAGTCCCAATCTGGCAGCAACAAGAAGCTGTCGTCAGTAGGTAGTTATTCACAGTGGCGTGTTAGAGGAGCTGGGGTGGGCACGTGGGGTTCAATGCTGCGTAGCAGGCGCTGAACACGCAGCTCTCAACCCTCCTGCAGCTCGGGCTGAGCCTGCTCCAGTGGCACGGTCGATCCTAACAGGCACTGGACATTGCGCTTTTTTTCCCCATTGGGACATCTTGTTTCAAGCAAAGCTCTCCATAGAAGTGAGTCAAGAGCTCTGCTAAAAATGCTTCTGTCACAGTATTCTTCCTAGTCAATTAGCTGACTTAGAGAAAAATGTTTCATTAAACTGTTCTTACTAATTTTAAGTATTTCAGTTCTCAGGCTAAGAGAAAAAATGAAAGCGCAACCTCCTGGTAAGTAATACATACACTAGTCCCATTTTAATAATTAGTATAATTGTAATGTATGGTTTTTCATACAATAATGTTTTTTCTGACTTCATCAACTCTATGAAAACCCTTTAGCCCTTCTTGCAAACCTTGGCTCATTCTTTCCACATTAGTTAATCCCATGAGAAAGCCTCTCTGGCTCAAGGATGTAACCACCAACAGCAATATGTAGTACACCAGATCTTCAGCCTCACCTTTTTTAACGGCTTACTGTCCTTAAACTATAAGTTTAAAAATCTGTTGATTTTATTCTTATCAAGATGCTGTGTCTGGGTGTGCTTTTCAATAATTATTACTGTGGTGATCTTAATATTCTATTATATAAAAGCTATAACTAATATTTTAGATATAAATTGCTTAATTAATTTTGCTGTGCCTATCCAAAGGGCACAGGCTAGATTTTTCTTTGCGTGCTAACATTGTTCTTCTGGCTTTTCAGACAATGAATATCCGCAGCTTCTCGTGCAATTACCCAAACAAAATGAAATAATCTGTTTAAATACTGATGGAAAAGCACAGCCCTCTGTCCACCTGCTGTCGGATCCGGAGCAAGGTGAGTGACCCAGATTACCCCTGCTACCAAGGACAAGGAGAGCCACTTTGGTCTATGAGAGCAATTGGTGTCTTTGGGAATAACCCCCTTTCGTGCAAGGCCATATCACACCCGCTGCCTTGCAGTGACCCGAGAGCCTGTCATTAATTTTTCCTTTATATTAGGCAATATTAACTTTGCCTGTGCAACAGCTGAGGGCACTCCTCACTGGTCTGGTTGTGGGTCACCTCCTTCTCCTGGTGTCACATCCATGGCCTTTAGGCTTTTCCCCTGCCCAGCCCTTGGGGGCTTCTGAGGGTGCAGAGACCTTAAACCCCATGATCTCTACATGCTACCGGAAAGAGGCACGCTCTTTAACGCGCTGCAGTTTTTCTGTGGTCCTGTACTCAGAGGAGCCATGGCCCCAGGTGTCGGTTGTCAGCTGCTCTGCTAATGGAGCAGAGCCATCTCTGTGAAAGGAGGTGGCATCATGGGGTTAAATAGACTCTGGTGACCCCACCACAGCCGTGGGGCACATGGAGCTGAAATCCAGGGGTGCTGTGCCTCCCAAAACTAGATTTGAGACCCTGAAGTTGTTTCAGCCACAAAGCTGAATCAGTTTGATCTCCAGAGGTCCTTTCCAACCCTGACCATTGTATGGTTCTGTCTCTGGAGACATTCAAAACCCGCCTGGATGCCATCCTGTGCAACCTGTTGTAGGTGACCCTGCTCTGGTGGGGGGGTTAGACTAGATGATCTCCAGAGGTCCCTTCCAACCCTGACCATTCTGTGATTCTATGATTCTGTTTTAATAAGATGACTTGTACTTTAAAAGCACAGTCCCTTGACAGATTTGTGTCAATGTTATTAAAGGACTCACTGTGACGGGGAAACTTGGAGATGGAATAAATCACTTTGTGCAGTTTGAAATTAACTATGTGAATCCCCCCGCACAAATCCACGTCTCCATGGGTGAGATCATCCTAAACCACAATAATGAGAGCACTCGGCTGCCATGGACAGAGTCAGCCACCTCCACCGTCCAAGGGTAAGAAACGTCACCCTGTCCTTTCCCAGACTTGAAAATGCGTCAGGTCTTTTTTTCATCCAGGCCTCCACATTCACAGTTGCTTCAAGTAAATGCTTCCAAATGTCCTTATCCGGTAACTCAGCGTGAGTGGAAGCAGGGTACCTTCACAATTCCCCATTTCAAATACAGAGAGAAAAAAAGGTTTGGTTTTAATTCTCCATGCCTGTGTAAGAGAATCAAAGCAACTGCACCACCAGCCTGCCTTCCTGCTTCTACACCAGAGGCAGAACGTTTATCTCCCAAAGAAAAGGACCCACTGCAGTGCATAGCAGCCCCCATGCCACCGCCGTGCTGGCTGCCACCAGACACTTTGTATTGCTCCAGCCGCAGAGCGAGTAGTGCGAAGTGATGGCTGTGACATTTACTGTCTCTTTTATACATTGGTTGGCTCCACACAGGCTGAAGTTTTCTTTCTCCTCAGTTTCAGCAATAACTCATATCTGGGTAGCTGGCATGTTTTACGGGAAGGCATAAAAGTGTTTGAATAGCTGTCTGTAACTAAGTGCCCACTGTTGGAGAAAGGGTACTTTAAATGTAGACTTCATTTGTCGGACTAATTAGAGCAGGATCCTTCACAACCACAAGAAAGAGCTGAATGTAGCTGGTTCCACTAGATTTTTTGCATTGCTGGAATAAACCTCTGAGAGGATCTGCTGTCGGTCTGGGGCAGACAGGACGCACAGCACTCCCTCCTTTACAGGCAGTTCTAGACAATAACAGAAGTCCTAAAACAACTGCTTTAAATTATTTTTGTAATCCAAATGGAGCCAAGAACGTGCTGGATTTATGCCCCTCTATAATTTGTCATCTGCCAAGCAGAATGATCCTCCTGCTTCAAAGCAGCACCCGAGCCCTTGCACCCGCAGCGCGTCGGAGTGGTTCTGTCTGACCCGATCTGCAAGGGTGGAAAACGACAGCGGATGTTGGTGTTCTGCGAGCCCACCTTGGGGGGGGGGGGGGGGCGGGGGAATAAAATTAGTTGGGTTACAAGAAAGGCAGAGTCTGCAAGAACTTGTGAATTATCCAAGAAACAAGTATTTGAATTGTTCATAAAATAGATTGAATTATTTTATCTAGTCTACTTTTTTTCTCATTAAAATGAGAAGAAAATATTCTTTCTTTTTTTTTTCTTCCATCCAAGCCTTTCTTGTCATTATGGATAATAAGGTGTTTTCATCAGCAAAAAGTTCTTCTCTGTTGGTGTGTTTGCATGTAACCTGATATGGGAAAGATATGTTGTGCAGCATAGAGAGAAAAGATGTGCTACTTAATGTTTTCTAGTTTAAAAATGACCACCAACAGATCATGAAAAATGCAAAGAGAAAAAAGACAAAAATTAAATTATTTTAATAAATTAATGTCAGCTACTTAAATACATGTTCTTTCTTCATCTTCTTCTTGGAAATGATGTAATAATTTACTTCCTAGGCTGAGAGTCTCAGTGGAAAAGGAAAGGAGCATTACAGCATCATTGTCTGATACAGTCACAGTAAAAATTTCCTTCATAAAATTTCCAGATGATTTCCTTGGGCTGTATTTCTTGAACACCGACCATTTTTCTGACAAAGTTAGTGGAGTTGTGGGTATGTATCATTACCGATGTATGCAGCAAAGAAGAATGATCTAGTAACTAAAATCCTGCAGTGAAAAGGGTTTTTTTTTATTTTTTAGTCACATCATAAGCCTTTATTCAGATTTTTCTTCCCTGGGTCCTAAGGGGGTTGCTAGAGAAACTTAACGTTAAATTTATTCTTTTCAGACATCTAACATCATCTTTTCATGCACAACAATCCAGACCCTACTCTACGAAGAGGGGAGGTTTTACCCTTGAAACATAACATAATGTTTTTCTGCTCACTGGTAGTACAAGCCTAAATAGACTATTGTGGGTTTAGAAAGCATTAAAATAAGACTAAATTAATAGTTGGGCTTAACCTCAACAGTCCTGTGGAATGACATAATTTATGCAGCAAATTAATTTGATGTCAAATAATGGACTATAAATAATGGACATAAAATTGTAAACAATCAGGGTTGGAAAATGAAAGCCGGCTGGTCCTGAACATCTCAACTCCAAAAATCCTGGTGGGGCTGAAGTTAAAGTTGTTTTGAAAACTTTGCAAACAGAGAGGCTGCATATTCTAAAACCACCAAAAAAAAATGTGAAAACCCATCAGAGCAAGGCTGAATGTCTTTGCAGAGGAGTGTTAGGGATAACAGCTGAAACACAGGGCTGTTCTTAACTCACTAAGGGAGCTTCCAAATATTGTCTTTTGGTTTTCTGAGGCGGAGAGCTGCTTTCCTGGTGTTATAGCTGCCATTTGGGTTAAATGAACAACAATACTCAGGTGTTTTCTATTTTAAAATAATCTATGTGTCTGTTACATAGGTCAATTTTATTCAAAAGCGAAATTTGAGAATAATTCCAACATTAATCAGAGAGCTGATGAAAGACTCCTAAAAGTGTCTGGATCTGAGCACAAAGTTACCAGGTAACAGATACGGGATAAGGGTGAGTGATGTACATGCTTTGAGATGTATTTTATCAGCAAATACCTCAGATCAAAATGAAAGGAAACTAAGGGAGTGTTTGTGTGTAAGAATACGCCTCTCTCCTGTAAATAATAGGCACTTGCACTTGATTTTTTCCCTAACAGCCTGAATTTGTTGCTTATTAAGTGATGCTACAGGGCCCGGGGCTCCTATTTCACGTCGGGGGAGGGAGCATACCCCGGGGCTATGGTTTGCATAAAAAAAGCCAAATAAAGTAAGATTCTGCTGCCTTGTTTACATGGATAGAGGGAGGGTGTTTCCTCAGCTGGAGTTACCATGAGAAAAAAATTTCTACAATTCAGTTGCTTTTATCAAGTTTCTGTGACATGGAAGAAACACTGTGAGCGTGCAGTTTCTGCTCCCTGTCCCTGCGTCCCCATCAGCAGCTCTGGGAGCAGAGAGGTGCCAGCTCTGCCCACGCACAGTCCCTCTGACTCCTGGTACCATCTGCAAACACAAGGTCGCTTCTGGGCCTGCCCTTTGCTTATTTTATTGCAAATTTTTCTTGTTTTGATTTTGTTTCAGGCAATACAAGAAGGATTACAGGCTTGAGTCAACCAGTGATCCTGTTCCCTGCTGGTCAATAGATATAACTCCCTAGAAAAGAGAATTCTGGGAAAGAAAACTATGCAAATGATGTTCTTCCAAATGTTTTTGATACTTTCTCTCATCAAGGAAACCACAGTTAAAGCCTTACCTGTCACTATAGATAAATCTCACTAATATTTTCCCTCGAAATAATTACACTTTCAAGATGAGAATGTGGTTGCTTGTTTGTTATTTTAAAATGGTTTATAATATTCAATCTGGTTATGTTGTTGAAGATTTGTATGAATGAACTAAATAAAATTGGTATCATCAGCTCACGGTTTGATATGGACACACAGCCTTGGGTGTCCAAATCAAATAAGTAGTGGCATTGCCCAATCCAACAAATCTGTCATGCAAACAGTAATAGGTTTCTAAAATACATACTCTCTACCCAGTTACAAATGACAGTGTTCTAGAACTAGGTGTTTTGTAAAAAGAGTATGAAGTTTAAAGCAGTGTTAGTTTACCATTTCTCTCATTTTTTATTTTATGGAAAAAAAGCAGCTTTGCTGTATCGGGGTCCTTTGGAGATTGTTCTGTAACAACATTCGGAGCTCACACAGTCAGCAATAGGCCCGTGAGTGGGGGGGCAGCCCGCGCTGGCTGCACTCCCCTTCAGTGTTGCCATTTCAGAGGCTCTGCTTCAATAAATGCCTTCCAAACGGCCAGGGACTGGTTGTGAAACAGATCTCTGACTTGTTGCAAAAGACAGCATTTCAACCCTGAAATTTAGCAGCTGCTTTTGGCACAGTTTCGTACAACGTTTTGCAAACATTGGAAGATGTTTTACAAATAATGAAGAGCTCAAAAAACCATGTGGTGCATGGAGGTAACATTTCAGAGGAATCGTACACACAGAAGCCTCTGCCTGTGGAATGCAATTTGTAGTTTTAGTCTTCGGGTTTTTTCATAAATTTTCATTTCAAAATTATTTTGTGTTTTAGAATTTCAGTTCCTGTGTATTTTTGAACCCATAAATATGCCAGCATTGTAGAAGGTTTAACAAAAGTTGCTTTCTATCCTGCCAATAACAGTAAAAAGCTTATTATTTTAAAGCAATGTATTAAAAGAGAAGCAATTTCTTGCCAACATCAGCAAGATAAAGCAAACTATGTAATTAGAAGCCTGTTTTTTAAGAAGAACTGTGTAGATGTGATGCCAAGGTAAGTTTGCGTGAATTGCTTGTACTTCCAAGATGCAGATTTGGAGATGCAGATTTGTCTGGACAAATTACACGACAGACAATGTGGAATTTGGAAACTGGAAACACCAGATAGCTTGCTTCACCACATCATAAACAGGTTTACTAATTTGAAAAGCAGGAGATTATTTCCATTAGAAATGAACTTGGTACTTGAATTATATGCTGTTGACGCTGGGTTTTATCAGCGGATTTACTGCAAATTAAAAATTCCCTGTTGTCAGTTATAGGGTGTCTACACGTTGCCTCCTCCACCTGCCCGCTCACTGCGGGGATAGCAAATAGCACAGAAATAGAGAGCGGTGAGGCATGGCTGGAGGGCATCTTCAACCAGTCCCCTCTGCTTTAAGTGAGGCTCAAGTGTGCAGATCATTCTTGAGAGCTGCTCTTCTAACCCATCCGCTAAAACCTGCAGTGCTGGAGGCTCCCCAAACGCCCCATGCAGCCTGTGGCTCTGTTAATGCAGTTCTCCCATGCTGCAAAGAAGCAGATCCTGCTAACCCTGATAGATGGGAAGAAAACCAGATGTCAGCTTTCCTCACAGCAACTTTTCATGTAGTTGGGTTTTTTTTCCCTGCTCCCTACAACTCTGCAAAGCCGTTCCTGTCCTCTGGACTGTGTCCGGTTTGCGTACGCTGCATTGAGGCGCTGTGCCCAGAGCTGCGCAGGGGACTGCACCCGCAGCTGCCTCCGGCTGATGGAACCTCTCGCGTATTAAAAGAGGTGCTCACCGGCTGCACCCACAGGGATGTCTGTCTTCTCTGCAGCAGCCCTATGTCGCTGGTGTGCCTGGCTACTGCGAGTCCCACATCCTTTCTGCAGTGCTTCTTCCCCTCTGCACCTGTGCTTTCCATTCTGTAAGTATGTTCCATTTCACCCTTTTTCACTTGAATTCTGTCTTAATTTGTTGTTTAGTCACTCTTCTCCTCTCCTTTCCAAGCCCCGAAGTGAGGTCTGGTGGGCTTCTGATTTCTTACGTTCCCTTCCCTTGCTCAAGCTGAAGGCAGACACAGTAATAAATATTTTGCATTCTATAATTTCTAATTTCGATGCAGAATACCCAGTATATCTCTCGCTCTTCTCTTTTAACCAGCATTGTACAAGTCAGTGGTAGGAGTAAAATTTTTATCTAACTGTAAGCATCTGTCTGCCTCTTCTCTCTGCCCTTATTATTAACTTCGCTGCATTTGCAGTTATCTCATATGTTGCAGGAATCCTGGAAGAACTACATATTAAAAAGGGGATTTTTCTATCTCCACCTCTGCAAGCGGGAGTTTCTCAGGCTGCCACAGAAGCCATGCAAAAGCAGACTGGAGCCCCTGAAGTCAACTTCTGGCTGACAATTCAGTGACAGCTGACAAAACTCCTGCCGCCTCCGGAGATTTGCCTCATCCCCGTAGATTAAGCAGGAAAGCTGTGGCTCAGGCTGTGCCCTGTATCGCCTTGTGCCTCAGCTTTGCCAGCCAGGCAGGTCAAGATCTGCTGAACACTGCGCTGGTTTTTTGCTCTAATGGAGCAAGTGAGTAGGGGGGCAGCCCCAATGGGCAGTCCCACAGCTCCTCTCTCAGGATCCAAAATGGATCATTGCTTTATTTTATTTTATTCCATGTAATTCATTATCTTAGAATAAAAATGCAGAACCACGTAAACTTAACCTTAGTAGTTTCAATTTTCTGGTCTTCTCTCATTCCTTCCTGTTTCTCTCCCTGCCTTCCTCATTTTTCAGTAACTTATTACTTTCTGTAGAAACTATTGTTTCCTTTCATCATTTTTGTCTGAATTTAGCAGGCAGAGATATCTAGCCGCTGTGACATCCGCCCTCCCTGCAAGAATTGATTATTTTTCTTCTTCTACAAAACTTTTGCATTTAGTAAATGATTTTGTTCCGGAGAAGGCCTGTCTCTCCCATAAATTTAACAGTAAGTATATTTTTCCTCTATTTTTTGTTGCATTTTTGTTTACCTCTACCTTTGTTCTTTCAGTTTAATCCATCACATCTTATGTCATCTCTGTTTTTCCCACTACACTCCTCTTTCCTCACATGTGTCTGCATTCTAGTTTCCCACACCCTGACTTTCTCTCCTTGTCATATAACAGTAGAGAAATGTTCTACTTCACCATGTGAGACCACAATTGCCTTGCTATGGCTGATTTGATTAAAAGAAAACTCGAAGTAAATAAGAAATCTGCTTATTTTTTGCTTTAGAGCTAATAGCTTACCATTTCTTCCAGTACAAAATGAATAGATAAATAAATGTGATATTTCTTGCCCTGAAATAGGTACATAAATTCTGTTATGGGAACAGAGGGAGGAATTTTACTGGAAGACAGTCATGGCATTTCAGTAAAGGGTCTTACACAAAAAAGATACTGTCCAAAAGACAGCTACTGTTACTTAAATGTGAGTGCTGTTTGGAACTGTGGTATTTCATTCATTTATAAAGATTTGGGCATTCACGAGTTAGGCTCAAATTAAAATACTAAGATGCAGAAGCCCCAGAGGCTGACAGTCATCTCAAGTGACGGCACTGCACCAGCCCTCAGCACTGCACAGTCAAGTGGTCAGATGGCTTTAAGTACTACGGAATTATCCTGAAATACGTGCTGGTCTGTCAGCTGTCCTCTTGTGTGGAATTTCAAAATGCATCCGGCATCCTGCGCTTTGTAAAACCAGAATGAAAACATTGATAGCTGTTGGAATAACAGAACAAGGCATTAAGTACTGAGGCTTTTATTTAAATCACTCCTGACACTCAGTTATTGATTTAAAATTGGATTAAATGTTTCTGTTATGTTTTACAAAGTAACATTTTAAGTCAGAATTTTAAAACTAGTAAATTAATTCAAAAAAACGAGGGTATTTCAGGGGATGAGTGGTATCTGCACACAAGCAGAATAGCTGTTTAGCACTTAAGATTTGATCAAATGATGCAGTAAAACTCGCTGTGAGAATCAGTCGTATCTTGGCATTGTCACACATGGTAAGCTTATGTATTTTTAATACTTGTTAAACACTGAAAAATATTCTTTCAAATACTCTGTATAAGCCCTGGATTTGGAGGAAGTTGTAGTAGTTTAAAACAGACTGGAAACAATATAGTCCGTATGAACACCATCTATCAGCCCAGCTCCATTGTCATGAACAAACCAGCAAGGAACGTCGACGCCGTGGTTAGGATCTGTTCTGTAATCCTTCTGCCAGCCCCTGCAAGGGAAAGCACAGCCATGGGCGTCTGGAGGCAGAAACTGCACTTTGATGAGGCAGTCTTTCCAAAGTCTTTGCAAAGGACTTAATTATTTTTTTTACCTTGTTACTGTCAGTTCGTTGTTTTTAACAATCATTGTGGCATCTGGTTTCTTGGGATCAGATCCAGGATGAATTTCAAGTATGGTGAAGTCAATGGGGTGGAAAAACTGTCCTAAAAATAGAAGCCAAAATTACCTTTTCAGGCATGTTGCACATATTAAAACAGAAACAAACCCCAGAACTTCTACATTCCCATGCTGTTTTCCATGTCCCCTTGGGGTTTTCAATGGATAAGCAAAGACCAAGTTTTGTGTAAGGTTGAACATAGACCTCTGGTATTATTTACTTTTTATAAGCCAGAATTCTATGCATATCATCTGGATGTAAGTTCCAGCTGCCAAAGGAACAGTAAAGCTAGCCTTTTCCAGATATCCTTCACGATATCCTCACTTTGTGTCTTGTCTATTCACTTGTATTTATTACGTACTCTCCAAGTCTCTAGCTTTTTTTTTTATCAAATAATGCATGTGTTGATCTCTGAAATTTTTGCATGTGATTCTGC